ATATAGCCCAAGGTCAAAACATACCAAATACCTACAAAGAAGCAAAGGAAGATAAAGACTGGTCAGAAGCCATAGATAAAGAACTATCAGCTTTAATAAAATTAGAAACTTGGACAGAAAAAATTCTACCTGAAAACAAAAAACCTATAGATACAAAATGGTTGTTTAAGGAAAAAGAAGATGGCACCAAGAAGGCCAGATTAGTAGCCCGAGGATTCCAAGTCAAGAAGGACGATAACAACCAATACCTATATTCACCTGTGGCAAGAATGTCTAGTATTAGAATGCTAATGTCAAAGGCTCTGAATGAAGACCTACCAATAAGGCAGATTGATATTCCAACTGCATTCCTAAATGGAAAGCTGAAATCAGATATTTATATAAAACCACCTGAAGGTTACATACAAAAAAATATAAATATGGTATTAAAATTAAACAGAGCTCTCTATGGTTTAACCGAATCGCCACGTTGTTGGAATGATACCATCAATGAGTTTGCTATAAAAAGAGGATTTAAAAGATCAGAATATGACTCTTGCCTATACTATAAAGAAGACTGCTAGATGATAATCTATGTTGATGACACATTACTGATAGGAAAGAATGCTGAGAAAACAATAGAAGATTTAAAAACAGAATTCAATGCAAAAGATCTGGGGAAAGCAAAAAGGTTTTTAGGAATGGAAATCGAGAGAAACATAGATACCATATCAATGAAGCAAACTAAATTAATAGAAAAAATACTAACTAAATTTAACATGCTAGAAAGCAAGGATATGAGAACACCTATGGAAGTAAATTTTAAGATAAAAGGTAATGAAGAAAAGGAAGAAGGAGAAAAGAAAGATTTGTATTGAGAGATGATTGGAAGCCTACTTTATTTAAGCGTGATGACAAGACCTGATATTACTTACCCAGTATCATATCTCAGCAGGTACCTGGATAAAGTAGATGAAACCGCCTGGAAAGCTGGAAAAAGAATACTGAGGTACCTGAAAACAACAAAAGATAAAGGATTAATTTTTAAGAAATCACAAAATAATGACTTACTTGCTTATTCCGATGCTGATTGGGCAGCTGATGAAACAGACCGTAAAAGTGTAAGCGGAACAATAATACTTCACGGCAAGAACCCTGTAGCATGGTCGTCAAAGAAACAACCCTGTGTGGCATTATCTACTGCTGAAGCAGAATATGTAGCAGCAGCAGTAACAGCTCAAGAATTACTAAACCTGAAAGGAGTTGCCAAACACTTGAAATGCACTAGAAAAGAAAATACATTACTAGTGGACAATATAAGTGCTATATCTATGTCTAAAAATTTCGAAAACTCAAAAAGAACTAAGCACATAGACATAAAATATTATTTTCTGAAGGATATAATAGACAAAAATATAATTTCCATTAAGTATGTCAACACAAATCAAAATCATGCAGATTTGATGACAAAAAGTTTATGTTCTGAGAAATTCTATAAACTGTTGGTAAATATTATAAACTAAATCAATACTGTTTTCATTGTAATTCAAAATTGTAAAATTAAGTTCATTTAAATTTTTAAAAATTGTTTATGACTGATTTTGTAAAGCAATAGCTAATATTTTTAACTTTTCAAATATTGTATAACTGAAATAAAATATGTAGTATGATTTAAAATATTGTAAAACTTTAATATTAATTAATAAAGATTGTAAAATTAAGGGGGTGTGTTGTAAAAGGCTGTATAATTTCACAACTTTGTCTAAAAAAAATAAATTAAAAAACAACCACCACCATCTTTTTCTAAAAAACAAATAGATGCATAGTATCCAAAAAATTATCTTGTTGTAAAACTTGTGTAAAACTATAAAATAAAAAGTGCTTGTGAAAATAAAAACAATAAGTTCATTCAGAAACTTTTATTTAAACTAATATTAAAAAAGTTTAACACCCTAGACGTTCGACGGTTGATAAAGGGCTCAGGTATGGTGGGAGTACTTCACAAGGTGTAAGGTTGCCCCCCTAATGTTATTCTGCCGCGTTCGAGTATCTAATCCCAAAATCCCCTACTTTATTGTTTTCACGCACATTCAACACTTTTTCAACGCATTGTTAAAAAAATGCATTTACTGAGGTTGTTTATATTGATCGAAAATAAATAATCAACTTACCGCACTAATATCATAAATAACTATTTAAAAAGTCAATTTATTTAATAAGTAATTTAATGAAATATTTGCCGAATCGGTATTAGATTAACCAGATTAACCACTAAGTTTTCGCATGTTTGTGAGTCTATTATTTAACCTTGCACATAATTATTTATAAATCATTTCATCAGAAGACTATAGTTTTCGTTTTAAGAGTGACTCCTCGCTTTGCTTCGCAGACTATAGTTTTCGTTTTAAGACACATATTATACACAAAATTTTCGTGGAAAAATATCTTACTGATGATGAAAACCGCATGAAAATTCCTTGAGTTCGATGAGAACCGCATGAAAATTCGAAGAATTAGATTTAAGATCATTGCGGACATACTTTTACTGAAAGGATTTATAGATCAGTAGTCTCCGCAGCCTGGTATTTATTTCAAGTAAAAAAACAACATAATGGTCAGTGTATTCGCCCGGATAGCGAAGAGTGCGGGTTGAGCCCCTTTTGCTGCCTGGTCCGCGTGGTTTTTTTTTCCAGTTTAATTTTTTTTAGATATTTAAAAAAGTAGCAGTTATTTGCTTAAAAAACAAATAATATAGTATAAAAACACCTTTTACTTGAAAAAGTGGCTAGACATTATTTATAGTAAGCGACTATCATAAGTCATAGACACGGTACCAGAGACGCGAAGAAACCTGATGCGTACGTTAGAAACACAGAGTACCGAGTGTGTTATGGGTAGGTAGTATTTATTACTTGGTCTTCTGTAAGAATTAAGGCACCTCGCGCACCAGCCGGCCATGATCACGGCCAATGGCCGCAAAGACTAGATTAACTAAAATTAAGATAGGTACCATACGAACGTCGCGCACTTGACTGCAACAGCCAAATCTAGGCTTCAAATCGACAATTCTAGATGGCGTGGGAAATTTGCTTTGTTTGAGTAACAAAACATAGATCAGCTCACACATTTATTAATTAAGATATAATTATTAGTATTTAGTTGCAAAGTCGAATATGATCTTAAAATTTGCCACATACTTGCTAGCCTTCAAATATTTCACTGCCATACCAGAAATTACGAGGAACCTGTAATTTGTAATTAAATATGCTTAATGTTAAAGCGAAACCTGTTGCAGCGTGCAAGATCAGATGCGCCAGCCCGTCCGGCGGGTACTCAGTGAAAGTGGTCCCGGCAGTGATTACGGCATTATTTTTAATATGTTATCATAGCACCTTGAGACAGTAACCAAAGTTGATACATACACCTTCTCGTCCAAGTCACCATAATTAATAGATAGATTTTGAGATAATTCCTCAGTGAGAGTTCGAACTGGAGGAAGTCACCGCGAAACACACTTTTTAAATTACAAACTTGTAAAATATTTGTAATGTTCGGGCTATTCTCTACTGGGCCGTCATACATCATAAACTACTCGCACGAAATATTACATTATGTGCGAAAGTAAATTCATGAAGATGTAAGCGGTAAACATCAAAACAGGCAAAATAACGTGTTTTCGTTTTATTAAGTCTAGACTTCAAAAAATCATGAATATGTAAGCGGTGAAAAACAAACAGGCAAAATAACGGGTCTTCGTTTTATTAAATCTAAAATTCAAAAAATCATGAATATGTATGCGGTGAAAAACAAATAAGGCAAAATAACGCCTTTGCGTTTTAATACGGTGGCCTATTGATACCGTATTTATTATCACATATTATCATAATGTAATATTTCGTCCGAAAAGTTTATGATGTATTATAACATTCTAATAGGGAATAAGCCCGCGAATTGGAAGTTTGTAATTTAAAAAGTGTGTTTCGCAATGCCATCCTCCAGTTCAAACTCACACTGAGGAATTACCTCGAAATCTTGAATATGAAGCTTATCAAGGAAGAGTGGCGTGTTTACGTGTCCCAGAAAATTACCTAGGAATTCAAATGGTTGTTGTCGGTATGTCTTTCAAATAAGTAAGATTTCACGAGAAGAGTTTAAAATAGGGAACTGCTGAAACTTAAATCTAGTAAAAACGATTTTACTAGACTTATTCATCTCCATTGATAACAAAATAATGTTAATCATACAATTTCGGAAGGTGTAGCATCACATTTAGATTCTAGAAAAAATCCATTACATACTTATATGAAAATAGCTAAATATTTTCGTTTAGGCGTAATTTTACTTATAAATCTTTAAATCTAAAGAAAATATAACTAGAAAAAATTCCACGCGGACCAGGCAGCAGACGGGACTCGAACCCGCACCCTTCGCAATCCGGGCGAATGCACTGACCAATTATGCCCGCGGTAGCATAATTGGTCAGTGCATTCAGTTCATCGCTAGAAGGAATTTCGACGCGGTCCGTGAGGGCCGCGGTAGCATAATTGGTCAGTGCATTCGCCCGGATTGCGAAGGGTGCGGGTTCGAGTCCCGTCTGCTGCCTGGTCCGCGTGGAATTTTTTCTAGTTATATTTTCTTTAGATTTAAACATCAAGCAGTTACATGCTTTAAAAATAATAAAAATTATAACTATAATTGCTATTTCTTCTTTCAAATGTTTAATACTTGTAAAAGTATTCATTTGACATTGTGGGTTTACCTATAATGCGAAGAGATGGCGCTGCCTTGCAGCTTAAGAATAGCTAGAAGGAATTTCGACGCGGTCCGTGAGGGCCGCGGTAGCATAATTGGTCAGTGCATTCGCCCGGATTGCGAAGGGTGCGGGTTCGAGTCCCGTCTGCTGCCTGGTCCGCGTGGAATTTTTTCTAGTTATATTTTCTTTAGATTTAAACATCAAGCAGTTACATGCTTTAAAAATAATAAAAATTATAATTATAAATCTTTGATATGCTCTTTCACAGTGCCGGATGCAGAAGGCAGCATTATGGATATGGTGGACTTTCGGTACTGGCGGTGCGTGATGAAGAGGGAATGGGAATGCCCCGACCACGAAATCAACTTCTTCCTGTTTACACCGTAAGAGATTATTTTTGTTTCTTGAGCATAACATACTATATAGCATATATCGGACTAGGCTAAAAGCTGAATAGCAAATACATAGTTCAGCAACTAAATTCAGGTCACAAAACTTATATATTTTCACCAAAATTTATTAGATCATCTCTGTCCAGTTAATTACTGGACCAACCAAAAAAGAATCGTCAATATCAGTCTGTAAATGGAGCTTTGATGATAAAAGCATATTCGAATTGAAAACCTCCTCTTATTTGATGTTAGCTCAAAAGAAGACAAGACACACACAGCACAGCACAGCCTGATTGCTATGGAATGTGCAAGTGATGGCTAATCTAGGAGGCGCTTGTTAAAGAGACGATTTCCAACCTGGTTTAGGCACGGTTTGAAACCAGGCCTAAAGCCGATAAAAAACCGGACATTAACAAGCGCGTTTTCTCATTCAAAATCTCACTTCCGAATTCCATGTATCCAGTTTTTTACATTAGTTTAATATGTATTGCGTCATTACACTGCAAGATGTCGTAATTAATGAAATCGGTAGTGAGATTGCATGTTACAGAATAGCTATGCTGTTCAGCATAGTCACGAATAAAGTATGCAATCTATATTATAAAAATCAATTGCTGTTCATTAGTCTCGCTAAAACTTGAGAACGACTGAACGGATTTATCTTATCTTGGTCTTGAAATGTTCATGGAGGTCTAGGGAAGGAAACTGTTCTATCTTCTTTCCTGTCAAACATTATTTTGACGTTCGCCCCTTTTGGTACGGTAGACTCGGCTCCGTCATTTCTTCCAAATTATTTTAACCCGTACGAAGTACGCGGGGTCAACTAGTTTTAAATATATTGCTTCCAACATTGGCTATTGTCGGATGAAAGAGAGAGGGATGGGAACGGTAGTTTTATGCAGAAGTTATTTGCATGAACAGCTATTTTGTATTACTTTAATAACAACTACTATAATATATATATACATACAATGCATTATCATAAGTTTTATGTGTGTTTATCCATAACGCCTACTAAGAATATTTACTTACTCATGTATTCTTAAATAGAAAACATGTTTCTAAACTGATAAGTTATTCCAGTCAATGCACGCTTTTTCTTAGCAATTCTACCAAACAGCACCGATTAGCACCAAAATTTGGCTCTAAATTCTATTTACCCTGTATGTCAAAGTTCTCTAGGTACCGAGGGTTGCTTTAACCTTGGGGGTGTACGTCACCCGTTCTCGGGGATGAGCAATATTTTATGAATGGGCATGGATAAACTGTAATCAGAATTAATATTCTGAGCAACTTTTGTTCTACAAAGTTTTTACTATTTCGGCGTTTGACGAAGAGGTGCCAACTTTTAACCAGCTCTTTCTCCGTTAGTATTGGGTCTAGTGATAGTATACCCAGTATTTTCTATGCATTTTATAGTCTTCAATTTTACTTCATTTTTTCATAAAATACTTATTTACAGAGTTATCTATAGGTTTGTCTAAAAACGTGTTTTTTTTTGTTGAATATTTGACTTTCCATCCTCGAATAAGTTGAAAAGTCTTGAAAAGTATTGACTTCCAGTAAAAACTTTAAAGATCAAAAGCTGCTTAGAATAACTCAATCTATCCATTACCATACTTATTTAAAAAAAACACCCCCGAGAAGGGTTTGCGTCCATATTAATAAATTTTAAATAGTGGGTAAGTAGAACTTAATCGAAATTTTGATGTAACTTGATGCTGTTTGGTGTAATTGACAGGTTTTCACGTATTTTCCGTGAATTGACTGGATTAAATATAAAAATTTGCCATCAATAAAATTAAATCGAGAATTATAGTTATTTTAGTTTATAGAAAACATTAGCATAGATATTTATGAACTGTATGTCATAGTGATGTATTCTAATCGGAAGGCGCAATATGTGTAGTATTTTACATGTTTGAAGCAGCTTTTAGACTAAGGATAGTAGTAGACAACCAATAATAATATACAAATGGGTATTTATAAAAGTTCATTATCGATATCGAAAAAGAATCGAATTCAAGATAATTGGAGCGGAAGTCAGAATTGAAAGTATAATAACAGCATTATAAGCATGAATAAAATAGATTCCGAATTAATAGAATTGATTAGAAGTAGATATCAGACCAGGGTGAGATGTTAAATAGGCCCTTGCTTATATAATATTTATATTTTAAACATTAAACTACTACATTTATAAAATCTTTAGAAAATATTATTAGAAAAAAATCCAGGCAAGGGCTTCCGTACGAGGAAGCCCTTGCTGTGTTTCTTGCCGGTTCTTCTTAGGTACAAGGTCTCTCACCATAGATTGTGTGAACCGAAGGTGTGGCTATTAGACATTGATAAGTGCTTGCCTTTGCTTGCTTTAATTAATAAAAATTGAAATTGTTGTATGTACACATTCTATTATTCGTTCGATGTATTTACCCCAGTGAGCACCCACACCAGCATTGGATTGACCCTCGTCACCCGGATCTGCTGCAGGACCTCGGCTGGAAGATTGGAAGGAAAAACGTTCTTATAATCCACGGTTTCAACGGCACTCATAGCAAATCTCCCATGACAACTTTGCGAGACGGTAAAATTTTTTTTTATATTATGGGCATACGAGCTAATGTCTCACCTGATGGTAGAAATCAGAAATCAGAAATCAGAAATCAATATATCTTTATTCAAATTGGATGTATAGTACAACACTTTTGAATCGTCCAAACATTTTTTTTCCCTACCACTCGTTATTGGACATATTTTTTAGCTGCGGAGAAAAACGAGCGAAAAAAATTCCACAACATTAAAAGCATAATGTAACAACATTTACAAATCATTATGTTGTTACAACGTCAATACAATCATGATTTATTTAATATAGAAAACCTGTTGGAATGATTGGAACAGTTCAAACCCAAGCATTTTTGTCTGTAATATAATCAGACACTTTGTAATAAGCTTTTTTATTGAGTGCTTTTTTTATACTATCTTTGAATTTATTTATGCTTAACTCTTGGATATTGCTTGGGACTTTATTGTATAAGCGAACACAAAGACCTTTAAATGAATTATTGATTTTGTGAAGCCTAGTAGCAGGTAAAGTTAGTTTATTTTTGTTTCTTGTATTAAGTGTGTGAACATCGCTGTTTTTAAGAAACAAATTAATATTTTTTCTTACAAGTAATAAATTTTCGTAAATGTATTGTGATGCGACCGTTATTATACCAAATTCTTTAAACTTATCTCTTAAGGAATCCTTAACTTTAAGATTATAAATTGATCGAATAGCTCTCTTTTGCAGCACAAAAATAGATTGAATGTCGGCGGCGTTTCCCCACAATAAAATTCCGTACGACATTACACTATGGAAATAACTAAAGTATACTAATCTGGCCGTATCTACATCCGTTAACTGGCGTATCTTCATTACGGCATATGCTGCAGAACTAAGTCTATTTGACAATTTATCAATATGTGGGCCCCATTGAAGCTTAGAATCTAAAGTAATCCCTAAGAATACTGTGGTGTCTACAAGGCCCATATTCCTATCCTTTACATTCACACTGGTTTTTACCTGTTTTACATTAGGTAATACAAATTTAATACATGGGGCATTCCACGTGAAGCGGACAGGTAAAAAAACTCGATGTTTCCGATTTCAGTAATATTTGAGTATGTTCTACTTATACTTATTATTGATACGTATACTAAATATTTTTGTGATATAATGACTAGTTAAAGAGTAATGGGACTTTGAAGTTTTCGACAACCGGTTGGCATGCAATACTTCAAAGCCGATTATGGACTCATAAAATTATATATTAAATTAACTAAACCACTGGATTTCCAACTTTATTTACTGGGCTTTTTAACTGTGTTTTTGGAAAAGAAAAAAAAAATTTTTTTTCGTATAAAAAAACCAATTTAAGTTTTTTTCCTTGATTTTCACCAAGTTAGACCATTTAGTTTTTTTTTATTTTTTTTATATAAATTGCTAATATTGTATAGAACATTGGTGCCAACTTTTATAATGGGCGTGAAAGTGGATTAGGAGCTAGACTGAAAATACTGCCGAAGGGTGGCGTCCAGCGCCGCGCCTGTTGACCGCCGCTTGTGCGCGATTAGTCATCAAACTGTCAATCAAATAAAATCACTTTTGACGGAATGTTTTGTAGATTTTTAATAAAACCAATACATAGAAAAATCCACGCGGACCAGGCAGCAGACGGGACTCGAACCCGCACCCTTCGCAATCCGGGCGAATGCACTGACCAATTATGCTACCGCGGCCCTCACGGACCGCGTCGAAATTCCTCTAGCCATTCTTAAGCAGCAAGGCAGCGCTATCTCTTCGCATTAAAGGTAATCCACAATGTTATATTAAGAATGGCTAGAGGAATTTCGACGCGGTCCGTGAGGGCCGCGGTAGCATAATTGGTCAGTGCCTTTGCCCGGATTGCGAAGGGTGCGGGTTCGAGTCCCGTCTGCTGCCTGGTCCACGTGGATTTTTTTCTAGTTATATTTTCTTTAGATTTAAACATCAAGCAGTTACATGCTTTAAAGAAATAAAAATCATAACTTTAATTGCTATTTCTTCTTTCAAATATTTAATACTTGTAAAAGTATTCATTTGACATTGTGGGTTACCTATAATGCGAAGAGATGGCGCTGCCTTGCAGCTTAAGAATGGCTAGATTAATTTCGACGCGGTCCGTGAGGGCTGCAGTAGCATAATTGGTCAGTGCATTCGCCGGGATTGCGAAGGGTGCGGGTTCGAGTCCCGTCTGCTGCCTGGTCCGCGTGGAATTTTTTCTGTGTATTGGTTTTATTAAAAATCTACAAAACATTCCGTCAAAAGTGATTTTATTTGATTGACAGTTTGATGACTAATCGCGCACAAGCGGCGGTCAACAGGCGCGGCGCTGGACGCCACCCTTCGGCAGTATTTTCAGTCTAGCTCCTAATCCACTTTCACGCCCATTATAAAAGTTGGCATCAATATTCTATACAATATTAGCAATTTATATAAAAAAAATAAAAAAAAAACTAAATGGTCTAACTTGGTGAAAATCAAGGAAAAAAACTTAAATTGTTTTTTTTTTTACGAAAAAATATTTTTTTTTCTTTTCCAAAAACACAGTTAAAAAGCCCAGTAAATAAAGTAGGAAATCCAGTGGTTTAGTTATTTTAATATATAATTTTATGAGTCCATAATCGGCTTTGAAGTACTGCATGCCAACCGGTTGTCGAAAACTTCAAAGTCCCATTACTCTTTAACTAGTCATTATATCACAAAAATATTTGGTACACGTATCAATAATAAGTATAAGTAGAACATACTCAAATATTACTGAAATCGGAAACATCGAGTTTTTTTACCTGTCCGCTTCGCGTGGAATGCCCCACATTTCGTTTTTCCTTCATTTAGTAATAAATTATTAACATTAAACCAGTGGACTACCTTAGAGATACAACTGTTCACGTCGTCAATAACTGTTTCCTTACGTTTGAGTTTAAATAAAAGTGATGTATCATCCGCGAACAATACTATCTCATGCTTATCTCTAACGTAGTAAGGTAAGTCATTAATATAAATTAAAAATAAGAAAGGACCAAGGATTGAGCCCTGCGGAACACCCATTTTAACCGGCGAACCCGCAGACTTATTGCCGTTAATGTCAACCCTCTGAATCCTATCCATCAGGTATGACGCAATAAGATCCAGATCAGTATCTCTAAATCCATAGTGGTGGAGTTTCCTGAGTAATGTTTCATGAAAAACGCAATCAAAAGCCCTGGACAAGTCGCAAAACACACCTAGAGCGTCCTGCGAGTTCTCCCAGGCGTCCAAAATTTGTTGTATAAGTTCAACACCGGCATCGGTTGTTGAACGACCCCGTGTAAAACCAAATTGTTTACAGTGAAGTATATTATATTTATTAAAATGTTATCGCATTTGATCTAACATGATTTTTTCGAAAATTTTACTAAAGGTGGGTAGCACAGAAATTGGTCTAAAGTTTGTGGGGTCTGATGTACTTCCCGTTTTATGCAAAGGAGTTATTTTACTGTATTTCATGAGGTCAGGAAAAACACCACAGTCAACACAATCATTAAATATGCAAGCTAGAATAGGAGCTATTGTCTCAATTACCGATTTAGAAACATCAACGGAATTGCCCCACAGATCCGTGGTTTTCTTTTTATTTAATTGGTGAAACGTTTTAATTACATCTTTGAAGTCAACATGTTTAAAATGAAAATGACTAGTACAAGGTTTCACGTTTTCTCTTAAGATTGATTCGGCAGCAATGGGGGAAGAGTTCAAAGATTTAGTAGTTGAAACTGGAATATCAGTAAAGAAATTTTCGAAAGCTGTAGCAACTTCAATATCTGAAGTAACCCTTTTATTATCAATATTTAAGTTATAATTATTATTGCGAGTTTTGGATTTTCCAGTTTCATCGTTTATAATATTCCATGTCGTTTTAATTTTGTCATTACTGTTCTTAATCTTTGAACTTAAGTAATTTGACTTTGCTAAGCGGCATACTTTTTTAAACAATTTAGAATAGTTACGAACATGCTCTTTAAATTTTTCACTAGTGTTACAGTTTCTTTCATTATAAAGTTTATAAAGTGTCCTTCTACTTTTATGAATTCCAGGCGTAGCCCACTTAGTAAAAGTTACCGCATCATTAACACAGATTTTTTTGGGTACAAAAACTTTATTAAATTCAGTGCAGTTATATATATAGTCGGTGTATATTAAAAAAATCATTATATAAATCATTTGGACTGTCTTTATATTTTAGATAACATTTTTCTATCTAATTGAGTTTTAAAACGTTCCACACGATTAGCAGATTTTGGTACAACAGTGATGTGTTTTTTTGTCACCTGCTTGAGCTGATATGGAAATGTAATCAACTGGCCACAATGATCACTATCTAGTTTATTAATAATTTGTTTTTTCTGTGGTATGATATCTGTATATATATTATCAATACAAGTGGCCGAAGTGGCAGCTATTCTAGTAGGCTCAATGAATAAGTTTTTCAGATTGTATGATTGAAATATTTTTTTTATTTTAGTACTCGAACTAGATTTTTGTAATAAATCAATATTGAAGTCACCACAGACAATCAACCGTTTGCCTGTAGTGTAAGTTTTCTTAAGAGCTTCATCCATGATAGCTTCAAAACAATCATACAATGCTGATGGAGGTCTGTATACGCTCAATACAACAAGCCGGTCCAGTTCCACACAGGCAATTTCTATTGTTCGCTCAACCGAGAGGCTCACAATATCTCTTCGTTCCTTAAATTTTAATTTTTTATTCAATAATATTAAAGAGCCACCGCGAATTGCATTTTCTCGATTGAACAAACTACCAACCTGATGATTATTGAAATTAAATATATTCTGACAACTTTTAAGCCAGTGTTCTGTAATACAAAAAATATCTATATTATTACAATTCATGAATAATTCAATTTCTAAGTCCTTACCCATCATTCCTTGAATATTAAGATGCACCAGGTTGATAAAACTTACATTTTTTGCAATGTTTTTGGATGGGTTTTTTTTATCTATATTAACAAAACAATTATTTTTATTTACATTATTATTTAATGTGCAAGAAGAATTATCTTTGGTCTGATTGGTTAATTTAAATATATATTATGATTTTGGGTGGTTTCAGTAGAATAATTACTGATTGTCATGTCAATAGAATATTGCTCAATAGGTAAGTGATCATTGTCGCCCATAGGCACCTGCAACACCAGGAGTATTACAAACACGATGCCGGCCTTTAAAGACGGAGTACGCTAATTTTTAAAAGGTTTTAGGCGCTTTTTTAAAGGTTTTCGGGTCGTATTGATCCAGTAACACTGTTGGAGACAATGTATTCCACAATATGGTATACGTGGTAAAAAGATTCGGCAAAATCGCATGGTTGTGGATAGCCACGCATCAAGATGATAGAGATGAAATTTTTGTCACGATGACGATTGCGAAAAGAATGCAGCTGGAATTGATCGGACTATTACTCTGAACGATAAGCAAGTCTTGTGACCTCAGTAAAGTAGATCTTATTGGCTTGTTTAAAAGCTGCACTCATAAAGTTAAGTTTTTGTATGACGTGACCGCAATCATTATTTATTCTAAGTACTCAGTCGTTGCATATCCCTGATATTATACCCCTCTAATCTTCAACCTAATACTATTATTTACTTTTGTAGGCTGAAGTCTGTAAAGCTGGAGTTGTTTTATTGAATGTTGCTCCGATTCAACGAATGGTAGCTCTTGGACATTGGTGCACGGGCCTCATAAGATTTTTACCCCCTCCATACTTGAAACGTTTTAAAACAAATCTTGTGGATTACTACTCTAATTCGAAGAAAAACGAAATTCCGATCGAAACTTCACACTTTTCTTACCATGTTTCTGGTTCGTTTTTAACTATAATAATATTCGTCGTCGGAATATAGATTGAGGTAAAGATTTTCTAAACCTACTCAAAAAAGCTTCAATTTGATAGTTAATCGTTCAAATTAAGTATAGCCCTTATATTGACGAAATTAAATTTCGTTTGAACTTCGTTATCGAAAGTTCGTGTCGGAGAAAGTGAGTAGACCCCCAGGTCTAACCCAAAACTTACAATAGTTGGAGTTTTTTAAGTGTTAAGAAATAAAATAATATGTTTCGATTTTTTTTTCAGCTTTCCTGCACCAAGACTACAATGTATTCATGGTGGACTGGGCCCCACTAAGTAGATTCCCGTGCTACCTCTCAGCTCTCTCAAATATGAAGTAAGCTTAGTTTTTCTGCTTCTTTAGAAAAGTTGTTCCATCAGCATCATTAGCCTATTAATGCCCCACTGCTGGGACATATTTTCCTATGGATGAAATGGGGAGATTGGGCCATAACCCACCACGCGTGCTTACTGAGCGGTTTACGGCTCGTGACTTCCGAAGTACGTTAAAACTCATGATATAAAATTTTTAGTTACGCTTCCGATGGCTGGTCATAGGGAAAGTTGCTTAACTTTCAGGATCACACACCGCACACGCTAACCGCTTGCTCCATCAAACTCATCAAAAAGTATTAAAGTGTCTTTGGTCAAAAGAGGTTGTAAACAAGCATATGGCTGTCCTGATGATAAGCAGCCGCTATAGTATTTATAAAGATGCTTGAGATAATAGTATCACTTGTACATTGCTTACTCAACCCAGAGATGGGCAAACTACGGCCCGCGGGCAACGATGTTTCATACCTCATACTCAACATCACTCAAGCACTTCTTGGTTCACAGTCACGTGCGGACCGTTGAAAAGTCAACATGCCGCAGAGCTCCATGAAAAAATGCGAAAAAAATAGTTATAGTAAAGTGTCGTTTTTTCGATAGGTACCTAAACAAAGTTTGTTAATTTACCGCGTTTAAAGAAAATATTGTTCTAATACTTACTATAAGTGTAATTAACAATAACTCTTTGATGCGTTTTAATTAAGACCTTATAGTATATGCATTAAAGGTGACTTTCAATGTTCAAAAAAAGTTTTGCACTACGCTATCATCTTACGGAGCTCCGTGGATCATCCAATGTACCTTTTGGCCTTTTGGACAGGTTTCGGCCACGATTTTGTTCGTATTCGTCGAACGTCGTTGCTCGCGGACCATTTCTGGCCCTCGAATGGTTAAAATCAATATCAAACAAAAAACTTGAAAAGGTTCAAGTCACATGTTCTGACAAGGACTACATCATCATCATTAGACAATTAATGACCCCTGGGGCACAGGCCTTCCCTATGGATGGAATAGGGAGATTGGGCCATGACCCACCACGCGGTCCAAGTGCGGATTGGCGGTTGCTAACGACTGTATATGCAGCCGGGACCAACGGCTTAACGTGCCTTCCGGAGCACAGAGGAACTTGAGTTAGAAGATTTATGGTCATCCATCCATTGACCGATCACTGCGAAAGTTGCTTAACTTCAACGATCGCAGCCGAACGCGTTAACCACCTGCACCATCGAGCTCTTCTACGACAGAGACAAGACAAGGGCTATGCCGCTGCCGAACCTGGTACCTACCTATACTTCGCAGCAAGGTGTATTTAGGTATTTGTTGGGTGAAGGGTATTAGTTACTGAGTTATATTTTGTTGGATTTAAGTTACAAATTCTAGGGCGGGGTAGGGTGAAAATCGTAAGTAGCCTGAGCAATAACTTGGCTCGCCCTAGATTCTCATAGTAAATATTGGCACGATAGGAAAAAAGTTTGCGTGTCGCTGTTCTTATCCCATTCCCAAGCCAGTACCTTCATTACTTATGTTCTTCTGTAAGGTCTAGGTTATTTTCCAGACTGGCGCTCTAATACGAGCGGTAAATCAGCTACCCTGCTTCTGTAGAAAAAGCGCCTGTACACAATTACTTTCTAAAATTCTATGTGCAGGTATATTATTACGAAGATGATTGATGCTTCACTTTGTCTTGTGGTTAATTTGTTTTGTTTATGCCTTGCGTTACAATGTAGTCGACAATTCTAATGATCGCATATTTATTACTCTGCAAAGTAGATTCTAAATTACTAAGCATAAAATAAACTACCTTAACTTTCCGGCTTTTGTTTGCACTGTATTTATGTATTAAAATAATTGTATTCCTAATTGATTAAATAAATAGATAATAATTGTGTACAGATTACCTAAAGATTGAAGCTTTAATTTGTAGTTATTATAGTGAAACAGACGATTCACATAGATAAAGAAGAACGGGCCAAAAATGTATAGAACTGCCTAGGAACCAATAATAACCATGCGACATATCATTGGAAAGATTTTTTATGTACTTTAAATATTGTTACGTTATGCCATCCCATACAATAATGTTAAATTGACATTGGCCTTTTGTCAATTTTCTATGGGTTAAATCTAGTTCTCGTTGAATCGAGATTTTGCAAATTTGTTGCAAGTGGGCCTTATTAATAAAAATATCTTGACAACAAAGCTGTAATAGGACTACTTACCTTATTGGAGTTTGATTATTGAAACTGGGGGCTAATCACCTAACGGGATTGCTATGGCTATCGTTTACGATTTCATTTTGTTATTACTGACCACCGAAGCTTTTCAAATACCTCACGCTCATTTTCTTTGCTACTGTTATTACCAATGCAAAGAAAAAAAAAGAGCGCGAAGCATTTTCAAACCTTCACCTTTAGGTCCACCATAGCAAACCCGTTAGGCGATTGGCCCCATGGCTGTAATACTTAATTTTGTAATCCTTTGTTTCCCAGGCTCGTATCCCAGTGTACGGCCCAGCTGTATTCGGTTATAACAGAGGCCGGGGGTTTGGCGAAGAAGACCACTTGCGTTGGTCACTCTCTAGGAGCACACATATGCGGGATGATATCCAATCATCTCACAGAGAAGCAATACAAAATTGTGGGTAAGTTTTTTTGGTTTTTCGTATGAACTTTTTGGGATCAATAATTACTTCCTATCTTATCCTATAAAATATAATTCTTGTAAACAAGCTCAGACGAAACCGAAATGAATAAGGTAAAAGGAAGAAATAAATCTGTTTGTACCAAATTGAGCGTGATTGAATTGTCAAATTGTGTGTGATTTCTTGATACTTAATTAATGTTATTATCAAAACCAATGAGCTGAAATATCAGTAAAACTAAAACAAAAACATTTTTGAACATTTTTTTTAATAATAAACAACAAAAAGTTTACTTCTTATACGATTGCTGTAACAATTGGCTTTCATAAAAGTAAAAAAAAAAAAATAGTACAGCAACACTTTTGCATGTAATTTCGCATCATTTGGTAGGAATTTTAAAGTTTAAATTATAGTTTGTTCAATACGGATTAACAAAATGAGATTTACAGTTGCGGTATTTTCGGCAACCCTAGTGTTACAGTTTTTATTTCCAAGTATTGGTTGATTCCATCTTCTCCTCTGAAAGATACAAAGTTTATTGAGTAACTAAGCAATTTCGTGTTTCAAGGTTTCGATGTACCGACCTCAGTGGCCGAGTGGTTAGTACGCCGGGTTTCATGGTGTCGCCGACTCGAAAGGTCCCGGGTTCGAATCCCGGTGGGGGCAGATGTTTGCGTGATGAATACGAGCATTTGTACTCCAGTCATGGATGTTTGATATGTATTTCTATATAAATATACTTATATATGTACAGAATATGTATTCTATCCGTTACCCATCCATCCCATAACACAAGCCTTCAGTGCTTACTTTGGGGCTAGGCTAATTGGTGTGAGTGTTGGAAATATTTATATATTTATTTAAGTACTTAAGTGGTACTTACAATTCTCTCCCAAGGCCGGAATCTTTGAATCCACCGAATGGAGTTTGACTAGTAACATGATCGTATGTGTTGATCCTGAATAACAAATTACAATTTGGGTTGAAACTCTTTTACAATACAATACTAAATTAATGTCCTATTAAACAATTTATCAACAAGTAACTAGAATTAAACGTTTTTAAATTTGTGAAGATAATTTTATATAATGTTATATTACGTTAGTGTAAAGAATATCTAAAATAAATTGGGCGTAATACTTCGTAGCTCAAACGATAGATTTGGTAGAGAATTTTGTCTGGCGATGTTCCACTTATGTGATAGTATTTTGAAAAGGCAGCTACCTTTTCTAAGTCCTCTCACATAAGTTGAACTTCGATCAACGATCGAATAAGTTGAATAATCGAAAATGTATTGTCTCGAGTTCCTCTGTGATTAGGAACACGTAAACCTTGATTCTTGCATTCCATTCAAAGGCGTTAACACTACTTATTCAGATAGTAGTCCTATTACTGTATTCCATATTACTCGTATACATCACGGAGAAACGGACAACTTTGCTAGTGCCTATTATCACGGAGTAAAGTGAATTACTCCGTGATAATGTTACTTACTAAGGTGCTTGCAAAGTTGCAACAGTACCGAAATTTCGGGGAATCGCAAGAAAAAAGTTACACATTAGTTGTAACCCACATGGTAGATAGCAATCCCGCTAATAGAAGGTCATGGCGCTAAAAAACCACATATAACTATAATGTCAGTGACCATACAATTTTGAAACTGTAATTTGGTTGTGAACTGTATTTCAGTATACTTACCAAACGGAGCCAGCACGCACTTGTTTGGCGAAACTAAGTGCTGTTGTGATATCGTTAGTGATAACGCCAGCGCCGAGACCGTAGTTAGTATCATTAGCTCTGTCCACCACTTCTTCAAACGTTTCAAACTTGAAAATGCTCTGCACAGGGCCGAAAATCTGCAATTTGATTAAGTTAGGTACGATGGGATATTGTGCATTAGAATCGCAGTGGTTTGTTTGTTCCAATTTTTAAGACTTCAGCCTCCCTAGCATGACTAACTAAAACTACAATTGAGTTTGACAGTTGAGTGTCGATAAATCGCTTTATCATATGGCGTTTTGTTACTCATGCTAGGGGAGCAGAATGCTCTGTACAGCCCGAAAATCTACATATGGATTATATTTAGCGAGTACACGTAATTGTGTATTAAAATTGCAGTGGTTTGTTTATTAGGGATAAAGGGGTCCTTGCTTTATTTATAAGGTCAGTAAACGTCAATGGTCAATCTGACGGTGACCCATCTTCAGAGACTACAAACGCTTGTTGCACTAGATTGTCAGTAATTTTTAATCTCGGAGATGTTATTGACCTACATTTAAATTATGTGATTTGGATTTAATATTTCGACAGTTACAAGTAATTTTTCAAAACTATCAAAGTCTGGCTCTCATAGGGTGTTTTTTGTAACTCAGTTGGGAGAAATACTAAGAGGAAATTTTAATTGTATTTACTTTATAACCTTTATGGCCTCTATTCTTACCTCTTCTCTTGCAATCTTCATGTCATCTTTAACATCGGCAAAGACCGTGGGTTTGATGTAATATCCCTTGCTGCCTAATTTATCTCCACCCACCAAGCATCGCGCTCCCGACTCTTTGCCAGCAGCAATGTAGTGTAATACCTTCTGAAACATATCCTTATCGATCTGGAATTAAGGATAAGCATATCGTTAACAACAAAAAATTAAAATTTAAAAATTTTAGCACTAAATCGGGAGCGGTGTCGTGCATTAGGTCCAGCAGTGGACGAATATGGGTTGATGATGATGATATCGTTAAGCATAAATGTTTAAATGGTGGCAAGCAAGCACATGGTCCACCTGATGGTAAGCGGCTATCTACGGACTCTTGCGAAACAAAAAATATTACTAGCACCGTTGCCTACATTGGCCCAATCCCCTACCCCTTGGAGCCCTTGAACTTTACTCACCGACATACAACACCACCAAAAGGTACTGTTATTTTACTGTAGTCTTCTGTAAGATGGATAATTACGAGAAAAATGGAATTCCTGAACTGAGTTTATGTAATTTAACAAAGGTCGAAGATATAATAACTGTTTTATTTTTATGCAAATATCTTCGATCTAGGTCGACCCTTCGATAGGCATGAAACAATTCAAGAAATACGAGTGTAAAACGTACAAGATAATTATAGGAACATAGAGCAAATGATCTTATTCGTTGGCTCTGAGGGTATTACGACACAGATGAAGCATCAAAACCAATTAAAAAAAATTAAACCATTCTTCAAGCATCTTAACGTTAAACGTAAAGTTAGACTCAAACTATGTGCAAATTTTGGAACCAATTTAAAATCCAGTAAATCGGTTACGTTGATAAACAAATTAAATAAGAGCTTTTGCTGTATATTTCTTATAAGTAAAAATTAGATTTTTCCTAAACCCACTATTTTACCTGAGGACCTTGCTGGACATCATCGAAAGGATTGCCCACGGATCTGTTCTTGGCAATTTCAGCGGCTTTCTGTACGAACTGGTCGTAAATACCGGACTGTACGTAGGTTCTCGTGCCTGCACAACAGCACTGTCCGCCGTTGGCAAACGCCGCGGCATGAGCTATCTGTGCGGCTTTTTCCACTGAAAATAGTTTAAGTAAATCAGTCTTTTGAATTATTTTAGCGTTGATTTCTTTCTAGTTCCATCACTTTCTATCATAATTCATTTCATTTCTAGAGTAAAAGATAGTTTCATGTATAAAGTAATTCAATCTATGGAGTAATTATAGAGTATCGGTCGGAATGTTTGACCCAAAGTATTTAATAAAGGGACGAAAGAAAATAATAAAAAATTTCAACTGTCTGCCTATGGAGATACAGTCCCACAACTGCCAGATGGACAGTCGGATGGAATAGTTATAGGGGTCAAGTTAGTGAAATAGCATATTAGTACAAAGTAAGACAGCATTTTAATTAAGCTAGTTTTCATTATTATTATCGCCATACTCACCATCAGCATCATTGAAAACCACTAAAGGACTTTTGCCGCCAAGTTCCAATGTCACGCGTTTGAGGTTTACTGCTGACGCGGCACCCAAGACTATGCGGCCCACCTGTTTATAAAAAAATACAAAACTACTGTAAAATTTTTACACCGTAAATTTTGAGTTACCTGAGAAACTTTACTAACTAATTCAGACAAAGATTTTTGTTATATTTCAGCAAAAAAAACCTTTATTTTTTCGAAAAATGTTTCCATTTTAACACACAAATTTTGCAATTATGAAACCTTAACAATTCTAATTGTTATAAATTGATTCAAATAAACCTACTTTTAGAATGTACTTACTTTAAATAATAGGTAGAAATATGCGCCGTTTTAGGATATTTTGTAATTGGTATAAATCTATATTATTGTATTGGGGTGTGAAGTACGTTTTCTATTTATAACTGTTCGCACTATTTCTATAATTATAGTTGATTTAGAAGTTTTTCAGGAAACTCAAATTTCACGGTGTATAAGACAAAAAGAAACTTTTATACTCCCTCAATAACGCTATCTTTATCAGGAACTTCTTCTTTTTATCACTAGCAGTTAACACTCGTCAGGGTCTAATAGGTATTTTATCCAGTCCAATATAGACATTTATTCACCAGATCGTGATGAGTAAAATAAGATAACACAGAAACTCTCACAGAAAGAAAATAAATTATAAAAATGTCTATTGCACAATCGGTGCTAATCAGAGATTTCTTCCAGAAAATCCAATGAGTGAGAAACATCGAGCACATACCCAATACCATTGGGTATGTGCTTGATGGTGAGAAATAATCAAAGTTATGATAATAAGGAGGAATATGAGGAATATTAGGTGTAAGTTGTTAATGGGAAGTTTGTAAAAAGAGGGAAAAAAGAAACTCATTTCAGTAGAACCGGTAAATGCCAACTTGTCGTGGTCAGAGTAGTGGGACAAAGCGGCGCGGAAAACCAGCCTCTTTTATTAAAGGGTTAACGCTGTCTATACACATGTCAGTTAGTTTGTAGACACTTACTTCAGTGGAACCAGGTGGAACCGGTGAAAGCCAATTTATCGATATCAGGATGTTGGGTCAATAACCGGGCACCACTTTCACCGCGCCCGGGGGAAACCAATCTCTTTTATTAAAGGGGCGATGCTTAACGCTATCTATACACATGTCAGTTTGTACGTAGACACTTACTTCAGTGGAACCAGGTGGAACCGGCGAAGGCCAGCTTATCGATATCAAGATGTTGGGTCAATAACCGGGCACCACTTTCACGACGCCCCCGGGGGAAACCAGTCTCTTTTATTCAAGGGGCGATGTTAAACGCTGTCTATACACATGCCAGTTAGTATGTAGACACTTACTTCAGTGGAACCAGGTGAAACTGGTGAAGGCCAGTTTATGGATATCAGGATGTTGGGTCAATAACCGGGCACCACGTTCACTCTTTTATTAAAGGGGTGATAGTTACGCTGTCTATATACTTGCCAGTATGTAGACACTTACTTCAGTGGAACCGGTGAAGGCCACCTTATCGACGTCAGGGTGGTGGGTCAAGGCGGCACCGGCCGTGGGTCCGTAACCGGGCACCACGTTCACCACGCCCGGGGGGAAACCAGCCTCTTTTATTAAAGCGGCGATAGCTAATGCTGTGAGCGGGGTTTGCTCGGCCGGCTTCACGATGATCGTGCAACCTTGAATCAATAAATTTTAATAAAGAAATTATCTGCATAATGGGATGCCAAAAGTTACGTATGACGTCTCGGCAGATAAAGGGCTAAAGCAAAGTTCATTCAGTCAGAAACCAGTATATATTCTATAGAAAAATCCATATGACGCCAAAATACTTATTGACATTTAAGGAATAATCCACATATTCTTTAATTTCTTTACTTTGAGGAACTAAAGTAGTGTCTTATAATAAAAAAAAACTACATATATTGAAATTTGTCCTTACCTGCTGCTAATGCAGGTGCTAGTTTCCACGACATCATTGGTATGGGATAGTTCCATGGTATGATCTGTGCACACACACCCACAGGTTCCTTTAATGTAAAAGACAATACATCACCATCTGTGAAGGAAAATTATAAAATTGAATTACTTTATGATAGAAAATACAAGGGTAATTATGTTGAAGACATGAATAGTAAGTTTAACCAACTTAACAAAGATTTGGAGAAATTTAGTTCCCGATAGGATTCGAATATACGCGTACGCTGTCGTATTGACTTAAATGATTGACTTAAATGATCGACCCAATTATCATCAATCATCACATACTCTCTGAGCTTCATACTTTTGCATACTCACGTTGTCTACTCAGATACTATAAATTAATTTTATGCTTTATTATGTCATGTGTTGTCTTATCAAATGTTATCGCAAAAAAGTGACAACATTAACTTTAGTCAATCGTTAATTGACTTCTCCAACTGCGGCCGTAAATGTTATATGTTAAAATTGTTTTATATATTTCGTTGTATTAAGTGAGAGAGACAGAGAGTCTTTATTTTTGCATTTTTTATATTTTCTTCATTTTATTCAATATAAAGTATACTCAAATAGGATTTGACCTGTTTATTGTTCTCGTACGTCGATCACGCCGAACAATATTAGAATCTGCGTGATAGCTCTTGGCAATTAAAGAAGTCAAGATAAGACTTTATAATAGGTCGGGCGCTATAATCAAAACTCAACTGGCAAAGATTAATCTTGACTATACATGACGATTGATAAAGATGTTGAGTCTGGCATCTAGACCTCTGAAGACACAGTTTCGGATTATCGTTAAAGTCAATGCATTAGGTGAATAAACTTTTCTTTATTTAATTTGGCCTCGGTGCTTATAGCACCTTACATTTACAAATTTCTAAAACATAGTCATATTGGATTACTGTTAACGTTTTGCGGAAACGATTTAGTGGAGTGCTTATTTCACATAGTCCATCCTATGTCCTTTCCCGGGGCTCAAACAATCCCTATACCACATTCCGGTTCAGCGGTTTAAGCGTCAAGAGGTAACTCAGACAGACAGACAGACAGACTTTCCCATTTATAATATTAGTATGGATGGAAAAAAACAAAAGCAAGATTCTAACCGGCAGGAATGGTGTTCCCTAATATCTTGTCCGCTTTACCGGCGTAATATCTTAGTACAGAGGCCGAATAATACACTTCTTCCTCTGCCGTCTTGACAGGTTTTCCACAGTCCAGGGTTTCCAGTTCCGCCAAGTATCTAGCCTGAGACTCGATGAGGTCGGCAAGCTTTAGCAACAGCAGCCCACGCTGGGAGGCGTCCATGGTTCGCCATTTTGAATAGCGGCTGAAAGCTTTTTTTGCTGCTTCCACGGCTTTATCTATATCAGCCTTTTGAAAAAAATAATAAACACAGGTCTGACTCTGGTCCTTTAGAATGTAAATATTTTATTTCAAGAATCGGATATAGATACTAATAAATAATCGTTGGACTTTTAAAAAAAGGAAACAAATATTCAATGGAATTACCATATTTACTGCCGAAACGACTACGTCTACATGATGAATAATTTCTGATATTTTGTATAATTTGTAGGAAGAGTATTGAAGTGATACTATAAGTGAGAATAAATTATTGATGATTCAGCAAACAAACAGCTATGTGTGAAGTTCAATCATATGAGGTATTAGTCCAAAGATGTTAGTATTATTCGCACATGTAGTCCGCACCCTATGCACTACCACTTAGCATAATACTTAAGAGCTCTTTTGCTTTGATTTAAAAAGTCTTGCTTGTTTTCGGTTCCCTACTACCGCGGTGCTGTTACGGCTCGTGTCCACGTTATTTTTGTGGTAAACGGAAGGAGCTCTAACTATTGTTCTTAGTGATAGTTTATAAGATATTTTTGATAGGATGCGGACTTCATGGTGTGAAACTATAATACTAACATTATTAACATTGAGCACTAATACCAAAGTATAATTATTAAACTATACAATTGGCATTTGAGCGATATGAACAAAACACGGCGTAACTAGTCTAAGCTTAGTCCTAGTTTATTAATAAGGGGGTATAGGCGTGAATGATACGCTGAAACATAAATTAATTCTAATTCTTAATACTCCAGCTCGGATGGGCAGCGTTCGGGAAGCTAAGGAAAATCTTCGCGTCCAAAAATTACCTCAGTGTCTCAAGATTGAAAAGTCTTTGACCGGTGTATGTAGCCAGTGATGACCTAGGGAAGCGAGATGTAATCCTTGCCAAGGTCACACAGCGAGCTATGGAGACAGAGCGATGCTCGGTATTTCTCTACGCGATAGAATCAGAAATGAGGAAATCCGTAGGAGAACCAAAGAAACCGATGTCGCTCGAGGAATTGCTCTGCTGAAGTTGTACTGGGCGGGACACGTAGTAAGAAGAACCAATGACCGTTGGGGCGGAAAGGTTCTTCAATGGCGAACACGCACCGGACGACGCTCAGGGGGTAATCCCCTACGAGGTGGACCGATGATCTTATGAAGATCATAGGAAGCCGATGAATATGAGTGGCACAGGACCGATCGGTGTGGAGATCCTTGGGGGAGGCCTATGCTCAGCAGTGGGCGTCGTACGGCTGGCATGATGATGATGATATGAGTATTAACTCCTACTATATACACAATAAAAACAAGTAAGATATAATATTTATCTTGTTTTTATTGCTTTTAAATTATTGTTGTTATAAAAGCTGTACAAGTAGGTATGTCTTATTGAAATTTACCTTATCACCTTCTGCAACTTGAGCAATCACGGTTTCATCTTGTGGGTTTATGGTTGGAAATGTTTTTTTGCTAACAGCATCTACCCAGTCATTATTGATGAATAACTGAAACATTAAAATAAATATTATTTATAAAAGTATCAACAGTAACTTAATGTTTACAGCAATTGTGTTGACATTTATACGTAAAATCTCTCTTCGATCTTTTATTAAATTTAATGTTGTGACGTCTACAAAATATCTCTCAAAGAAATCGTCCCAAGGTAACCGACACGTTTCAATTATAATCATATGAAATTTTCTTACACAAATCTTCGTGATCTTCGTAATAATCAAATGAAATCGAAATTTATTCTAAAGAACAATACATCAGATTAAAGAAAGTCGTGATGCATTCATAAACATAATATTTTATATAGGTACCTACCTACTTATAATACCTTGCATATAAGTAGCTCTAATACTGCACAAAACATAGAAAAATACGGCATGAAACATAAGAAAAATCTTAAAATTTTATTGAATTATTTTTTTCTCAACTATTTCTCACTGAATTGATTAGCAAAGATAAATGTTATGGACTGTTAAAATTCAACTCTGCAAATAAATATTTAATTATCTTATGACTAAACAATAAACCTGCGACAGAAACATTTGCTTGTTTAAGTATTCAGTATTAAAATTAGATTAAACAATGGTTTTAATCTAAGGTATTAAACAATAAAAAGATTTCTAAAATGAGGGTAAAAAGAAGTTTATCATTATACCTACTTAGTAAACTACCTGAACTACTAAAAAATTTAACAAAAATATCATATTCGTAATTAAAATTATTTATTTCAATTTAAACACAGACCTTTCTGAAAAAACTAAGTCAAAACTTAGTAACTATCGCTAGTTATATTATTCGTTTCATTAGTTTGAATCGGAGATTTAATCTCTGGTTTAATTGTTTCCGAACCTTGACCTAGAAGTTAATATTTAAAAAATAAGTTCTTACATACCTACTTATTTTAGCTACACGATTTTAAGTAAGAAATTCTTTAAGAATTTTCGGAAGGTTAAACATCCGAGCCATTTTAAAATAGTACTTAGTAGTACTATACTTGTAATTATGTTTATGAATTAAAATATTATATACATATTAAACAGTAATTCAGTTTAAACAGATAAACAGCTATGCATACTTCAGGCGAGACATATGATAAATCTTTATATATATAATTCTTCTGTGAGTGTGTATGTCACTGAACTTCTCTTAAACGACTGGACCGATTTTGATAAAAAATTTTGTGTGTGTTCCAGGGGATCTGAGAATGGTTTAGATTCACAATTTTGTCCGCTGGACAACCCCTATTTTTTTAGGGCGGTACGAAGTTCGCTGGGTCAGCTAGTATTATGTAAAATATGACAATATTGTGTTGCTTTAAGCATCTACCGGCCGGCTGATGAGATTTGGAAATTTTAACCCATTTGGCGCAATTCTTTTAATATTAACCACAGATTAAGGCACTAAATTTAATAAAATGAAACATACCTTTGTGTATTTAACGTCTATTTTCACCATTTTGGTTTCTTTTCTTCTATCTAAAAATACGTCTAAATACACGGACGCCACCAAGCGGACTGGTTAAAGTGAAAAAAAAACAGTAAAATTCAAAATGGAGCTCTTTCAAATTGTACCTTATTCACGAACCATAAAGTACTCTATACCACACGTTGATATCGTACCGTATGGGTGTGTTTATTTTTAGATACCAGTTGAGCATGAACGGCGATGAGGTTGTCATTGAATTTTTATCTTTGTGTCGTTGTAATAGAAACGAAGATGCTGATTTTGCTATCGCAATGAAGTTAGCCCCCAGAGAGTGTTGCCAAAGTAGAATGACACATGTAACTCGGTGACAGCACAAAATTGTTAGTACAGAAAGTAATCTCATGTATGTAATTCACAAGGTATGAAACCTTGTGCTTGTGCACAATAAAATCGTGGTAGTGGCACTCGTACGTATCTAGTTGTTTGATTTATTTTTGAGAATGAAACAGGAAGAATCGAAATGCAAATCCATAAGTAAAGTATTTCAATTTTAAATTTATTTTTTATAAGGTACAAACTTGGAGAAAACAAAAAGGGAAGATACGGCTCAAAAATGATCCGTTTAAATTGTGGTGCATCACCACAATTCGCTTTAGTCACAATTGGACATTCAAACACGCTGCATGTGCAATCAATATAACAATATTGCGTATATTCTGTATTATAAAGATAAAACAATGCCTTCGATGCTTTTATAAAGAACAAATATAGTTCAAAATCAAATAACAAATGCTTCGGCAACACTTTTCATTCGTAAAAGTGTAATAACATTTTTTCCTCTAAAATCACGGTTCGTCGTGACGTACGTAATCGCCATTTTGTTATCAAGAAAAGGACAACAATACAGCTCAGCCGTACGGACCAGGAAGCGGATTCGCCGTTTCGCTTGCACTGCGTTAAAGCGTACAGTACCTCTAGCACGAACCAATATCGGATTCGAATCTTTTGCGAGTCCGAAATGTCATTGTTAAATGTGTACTGATTTTAAGTTCTCGTTACGTAGTTTGTCCCGCTGCTGTTCAAGTTTCCATACAAAATTGGACATTGACATTTCCGTTTGCGAAACTATTCGAATTCGATGTTGGTTTATGCTAGGGGTACAGTTCTGTCTCGCTTGCTCGATTGTATGTTTATATACAGACGTGTACACGCACACGATAGTTGCTTATGTAGTTGAGTCGGATCATATTTTATTTGATGCTAGTATGAGCGTACCACATCTTACCTTTTTGTTTTAATGTAAGGGGAAAAAAACGATAATTCATTATTTAATGTTGATTTCAAACAACTGTCCAATAAACAATAATGATAACTTTCTTTGGCTACTCTTACCTACTCCACTTTTGTAAAAAAACATACATGTGTTTCAAGCGGATGGAACTCGCGCCCGCACTGGTCCCAAGCCGTTCAAGATACTCGTATCGTGCTCCTAAGCAATGTCTATGTGTGCGTTACTCGAGCGCACTTTGTATGTACATTATCTTCTGTACTATTCTGTTTTGATAATAACAAAACGATCACATGATCCAGAATGAAGTTTTCTTTTGTTTTTATTAAACTTTTTTTTGTTTTTATTAAACTTTTAGGCAAACAACCATACTAATATTATAAATGCAAAAGTTTGTCTGTTTGTCTATCTGTTACCTTTTCACGCTTAAACCATTTAACCGATTAAAATATTTTTTTTTATAGATTTGAGTTCCGGGAAAGAATAGATTTATCGCAAAATTCATCCTTCAAGGGGGTGAAAAGGGGAGAGGGATGAAAGTTTGGGTAGTTGCATCGTCTTGTTGAAACCACACCACACATGTTCACGCTCCTGCAGAGTATCGTGCTTCATTACTTGTCTGTTTGTATTCTGCATCTGTCTTGTTCATAATTAATGTCAAATAGGATTGACGTATGAGGCTATGAGACGCCCTCCGCGGCCGAGTGGTTTATAAGCCAGGTTTCATGGTGTCGTCGACTCGAGAGGTCCCGGGTTCGAATCCCGGTGGGGGCAGATATTTGCGTGATGAATATGAGCATTTGTACTCCAGCCATGGATGTTTAATATATATTTCTATATAAATATACTTACAATATATGTATTCTATCCGTTACCCTAGTATACCATAACACAAGCCTTACAGTGCTTACTTTGGGGCTAGGCTAATTGGTGTGATTGTTGGAAATAATAATTTATAATTTGCAATAATTGTTTTAAGTTATAACATCTTCTGATAGTGATTGCTTTTGCGCCACCCTGTACAATCATACATATTCAATAGGTACTTGATTGTCGGCCAATGATAAACATGAAAGATAGGTAATTCTGATAATGAGATTTATTTTGTTGCATTTAATGCTAATTATATTTGTATAGGTAAGTAAGTAAGTAGGTAATTACTTTTACTGAACGTAACTGTTATATAATTTTATGACACGATTTTATTTCACTATTCTTAGAATTTAAATATAACATTTTAATCGGGTACAAAACAAATGCCGTGTTAATTTTGTGTTCATCATTAAAATTATCGGTCCTCGGTGCTGGTCTGGAAGATGAAGGAAACATAGGGTACTTCCTAGATTTTACTTCGTTTTCAAATATCTATAATTGGGGTACTATTTCGAGATATTTAAAACTTTCAGATGACTTGTAGTTGACTTTTATTATCGCACATTGAGTGAGTGACTTAAAATTTTCGTAGTTTTTGATTTTGTGAACCTTGAACTTGAACCTTGTTGTGAAAATAAAACGTTTTTAGGGTTCTGTACCTCAAAAGGAAACAAACGGAACCCGTATAGGATCACTTTGTTGTCCGTCCGCCTGTCCGTCTGTCAAGACCGTTTTTCTCAGGAACGTGTGGAGGTATCAAACTGAATTCATATCTAATACTCAGGTCTACTGTCCCTTGGAGCTGTGAAAAAAACAAACTTCTAAGCTAAAGAAATCAAAGGACGTACTGCCGTTTATGCCGCAAATTTTCGCAAATTTTTGAAACTCGCACGGGAATCAAAACCTACAGGGTACTTCCCGTGAACTTAAAATCTTGAAATTTGGTACGAAGTAACGTCCTAAAGTACAGATAAAGGAAAAATTGCGGAAACCGTAAATTTTTAGTTACATCATATAATAAAACTATACGTGTGGCACTCGGGGACTGCCGCGGTAAAGCTATTGCATAGCATTTTGCATCAACTTAAGAAATTATAATTATTTATTTATTTTATTTATACAGTTTGTTTTCCTTTGATATTAATTCAAGTTTTTTCTTCGATATTAATTCAAGTTACACTTTTTGAGAGTGGTGACTGATAAGAAAACATGTTTTTTTCTTTTATTGAATAAATGAGAAGTTAATGTTGTTTAAAATATTTTTATAATCTTACATGCGAGCTTCGTGTAGTCGTACCGTATACATGCACGTTAAGGCTCAACTAGTCGCGGGCTCGAACCCACTCGTGGACACGGCCAAAAAGCACGCTGTCTCACCTAGCATTGTATCTAAAAGAGATAGAATCAGTTATGAACAGTTAGCAGTTAGTCTACACGCATACGTCTACTCTCACTTGGCCGGCTTTTTTTCACTTAGGTCACTTTTATGCAAAATTTTTGGGGATATCTACGAACTTATATCATATAAGTTTTGGAATAAGTACCAAAATAATAATATGTAACGTGAGCATGGCCAGCCTTATTTATTATTTATTTGCTATTGTACATTGATTTGTGGTGAAATAAAGAAAACAAGTGATTAGCGTGACCTACATAACCCCCAGATGTGTCTTTGCAGAGAGAATGGAAATTAACAGGCACCAGGTATACGCATGTTTGCCGAAATTATGCGATGGTGCATCAGACTTGACCGCGACCTCGTCCGCGTGTACATTGAAATTTAAAAATGCTAAGGGCATAAATTTCATTACTTAAGCTCTTTTTCCACCGCCAAAGAAGAATGAACTAGGCATGTCTAGATGAGCGGTTTTTACTCTTTTTGCCCTCTTGGTTATTTTCATTCGACTCTTAGTTGGTAGATACAGTTGTACAGTTAACTATATAATAGTTCCATTTTCTCATTATATTTTATACAGAGGAAATGAAATCTCTAAAAGCCAGAATTATTTTGAGATTCTTAGAAGCTACCAGGCTACTTTAATTTGGTGATGACGCCTCAAAAGATGTTTTAGGTCGCAGTTGAGGTCTGCATAGCTCCAAATATCTCAGACAATAATGATATACTGACTGAAGTGAATGAATGAACTTAATTCTTTATATACAACGATAATTCTGCTAGAAAAAAATAAATCGACTCGGCTAATAGTCCAGGAAATGAAGCTAAAAAAATGATAAAACCTCGCAATTTTTTTCGTCCAGCACCGATTTGTACAAAAAATGTGATTAGGCTTATACTCTAGCTCATTTTCTATATTGTGCCGTTATACGCTTTTTGTTTTTAGGGGCGAAAACTACAATTTAAAAACCTAAATATGGGTAAAAATAGTTAAAAAATGATTGTTTCATGCTTTATGATACAATTTTATAATCTTTCAACCTACCCTTGTTAAAAACTAACCTTAAAACATATATTTTTTATATACATAGTTCCTTCATTTTAGGTGATAGAACTTTTTTTTCAGACACGATTTTGTAGAGCTTTTCAGGAGCTATATATGACTATGTGAATTAAATTACTTAAGATCCCCTAATTTTGAAATGGGGAGAGTTTAAAGCGCTTGAATAAGGTGATGTTCGATCGTAAATGTAGGTGTTAAACGGCTATATATCGCCAAATATTCACTGTACAAAAAATATGCGCACAATATGCGGGAAAGTTTTGTCATTAAAAAACTTAAATTTAGTACTGTCTTTTTTAGTTTTTTCGTATCTTTAGTATTTTGGGAAATATTTTTAAGAAAATGGTGAAAAACCCGAAATTGAAAAAATCGATTTTTCTCTTTAAATTCCAATTTTTCTAAAATTTGGCACTTTAAATTGGTCAAACTTCGTGGGTGTATTAATAGTACATACCTATATATAAAGAGAATTACAGAAGGGTGGCGATCAATTTTGATCACAAGTCGGTCAATTTTCATGCTAGAGACATTGTTTTTTATTTGTTTGAAAGCTCTAATTCAATACTTTAATAAAGATTCTATGAGGTTTCTTCGAATAATGCAAAGTTTTCTCGTTATTTCGCTGTAAATCTGCCAATTTATGTATTTGACGAAAAAAGCTAAGCATTAATTTGCTGTATCTTAGTTCATATTTCTCATAGAAAAACTATAAAAAACGCATTGTTTTTGTTTTTTAAAAGCTACAATTTGACTCTCTATACTTTTTTTGATAAATTGCATATTTTTAGAGTTATTCGCAAAAAAACATTTAAAAAAGTCGATTGTTTGTCAAATATCTATTACTTTCAACTTTGAATAACTCAAAAAATATTAGTTTTACGAAAAAAACGTATATAACATTTTTTTTCTTAGAATTACTTTTTCCGTCGTTTCCTACAGTTAAAATGTAATAAAAAAATTCCATCCCCGAGATGGGGTGGCAACCACCCCAAGGCTCTAGCGTACAGCAGCATGATATAGAAAATAATCCTTGAGCTGTTGAAATTTTCACAAAAGGTAGCGAGCGAACCTTTTGTGAAAATTTCAAGTAAATCCATGGTTGACGAAAAAATTGCGAGCCAAAATGCTTAATTTCCAGGACTATAAGGCGCCTTAGACGAGTAACTATTTAAGCGGACGCTAACGTTGGTTACGTTTTTTAGTTAATATTTTGTCAATTCCATAGGAACTTAACACGTTTCCGCAATAAACCTATTTACATTGCAGGTTTATTAAACAGAGTCTATACTCTGTGTTAAAAATTTCATACCAATTGGATCGACCGTATAATTATGAGTAAATAAACACATACTAATAAACAATCAAAATTTCACACTTACTGATTACAGTTTTCCATAAATCATTAATCTTTTCTACGGTCTTCTTCTATCTCCATAACAAAGTTCAAGTAGAAACTTAACATCCAGACAAAAAGACGTAATTTACCATTTATTTTATTACAATAAAATGGAAGTAGGATACCTATCTACTTACCTTTTACAGCTGTGGTGAAGTTTTTATTAAGTTTTAAGAAACAAATGATATGAGTAACAGTCTATCTTTCTCAACCATCGTTGCCTGTTTAATTGACTTAAAAAAAGGAGTTATAGTTATATTTATTTATTGCTGTTCGCACGTATCTACGAGATGCGTGAACTGATTTTGATGATTCTTTTTTGTTGGATCAGTTTTTATTGAGTTGGTCCTTTCAGAGATATACAACGGAACTTAATTACAAACAGTACTTAATTCGTGTTTCGTTATTTTAAGAAATATGATTGAGATAATGTAGGCCAGGTACCTACTAGTAATATACTTATTCAGTTGATGTTACTTCTTATATATACAATTCTCGTGTCACAATGTTAGTTACCATACTCCTCTGAAACGGCTTTTATGAAATTTTATATGCATATTCAGTGGGTCTGAGAATCTACACTATCTATTTTTTATACCCAGAAACATTTTTTTAAGTCAGTACCATGCATTTTGATAGTTTTGAGTAACTATTTACTGTTTGGGTTGACATAACGAGTTTTTTAATACCTACATAGGTAATTAATATTCCGGTGTGCTTCGCAAAAATTATACAGATATTATTATTTTCATAGAAGCTATAAGAATCCATATAAATATTATACCAAAAAGACTTTAGAATGAGATGGATGTATGGATGGAGATAAGATAAGGGTTTTTATGGCAAATTACTATTTATGCTATATCAGTACAGACGAAATCCCTGGCATTAGATAGTACGAAAAATCAGAGCCAAAAATTAAAAGAAAACATTAAATATCGTAAATATATAATAATCAAACAGAAAAAAAACATATAATCATAAAAAAGTAAATAAGATAATCACATTTTTTATCAGTCAGAGTTTTAGCGTTATTTAGACGAGAGGCTTCTTCGGAAGATTGAAGGACACAGTCTTATGTTCAAGGTACTGGGTAATACCTTCTTCACCCCTGCGAGAAAAAAGAATGAAATCATTAACAACACGCTATGAATCTATAATTTTATATACACAGAAATAAGACGTAATATAATGCATATAGAAAAGATAAATAAAATAAATAAATATAAATATTTCCAACACACACACCAATTAGCCTAGCCCCAAAGTAAGTATTATAAGGCTTGTGTTATGGGATACTAGGGTAACGGATAGAATACATATACTGTACATATATATGTATATTTATATAGAAATACATATTAAACATCCATGACTGGAGTACAAATGCACGTATTCATCACACGAACATCTGCCCCCACCGGGATTCGAACCCGGGACCTCTCGAGTCGGCGACACCATGAAACCCGGCGTACAAACCCCTCGGCCACGGAGGTCGTCTCAAAGTTATCTCGGATGTATCAAAGTTACAAAGATCTTGGAAATTAGCAATGAAAGTTTGTGGTAAATTTATAAGGAGGAATAAACATCGCAGTAACTTTATTAAACGCCATCTTTCATCATCTACGGGGTAGGGGATGGGTTCAAGCCGGCAAGGTGAGGAAGGCGGAATCATCAGATTTTCCCTGGCAGAGGCCAGCGGAGTCCAGTCCCACTCAGGCTTGTGCTGATGGCCAGGAATGTCCCTTATATCCCTCAGCATTTCTAACCTTCCTGTAGGGAAAAGGGGTGAGTCCGTTTCAATTGAGAGGTAGGGCATATCGGATTTCCCGCTCGAATTTAAGATCCCCGTTTGTGGAAGTAACCTCCACCTTACAGATGACCACAGTAAAACAATACTAACTTTTAATGATGTTGTCTTTCTGTCGGATGATTAAGGTTCCAGGACTCCGCGGTAGGGGATTGAGTTAGGGTGGACAACGACGCGAGCGATAGCTTTAGTATCGCAAGCGTCTTCAGGTTATGGTTAGATTAGGTTAGGTTTGGCCAGGCCAGGCTTCGCCGCACTGCGTTGTTTGCGCAACGACGAAAAAAGTGGCAAACCATCCGGTCGGGAGCAGAGCCTGTAATTGCTTCACCGCCCGCGAAGAAGAGAAAAGGGCTAAAGAAGAAAACCTCCCCTACTCGCCAGGCACTGGCCACGGTCGATGAGGAGATGGAGGTCGCGGCCATCCCGTGATGATGGCTGCCCAGGGAGCTGGGAAGACGAGGGTTCAGTCCATGTCCACCTTGGTTTGAGAGCCGGGCGGCGGTAGGAGGGACTACCGTCGCTCATGTATGGCTTTCGTGGTGTCCGGGCGCGTCCGTGTTCCGACGCGTCCTCGCCGAGGGAGGGAGCTGGAGCTCCCACGTAGAGGGGTCCGCAAGGACATCGCAGGGCGGGGCCGTGGTTGAATTTGGTAGCCAGAGCCCACGGTTTTACTCGCCCACCTGCGTGACGGAATACCTTGGGGTTTTAGCCGGTTAGCCGGTAGGAGTCCGGCATAAACCCTCCGTCTCCCTTTCGGCGGGGGGTATCCATGATGGATTTCCTGAAGTAAAAAAAAAAGAAAAAAAATGGTTGCCTGTAAAGTCGGTTTTACGGGCGAAGATTTTACGTGACAACGTCTTTTTCTCGGTAGAATATTTATTGATATGAATATAATTAAATTGCACAATAGGAACAAGGAATTGAATGAAAATAAGAATTGCACAAATTTTAACTATAGAAATATATTTTGTTTACTAAAACATTGTACATGTAAACTTAAACTTAACACGAGAGACTCATCGTAACGTTACCGAGCGTTACACTTTTTCATAAGTGACTCCCAGCCGCAACCTAATTTAAGACGTTGTCACGTCAAAAAGGCCAGGCCAGGCTAACCAGACCAGCCATATGCTTGTTGGCCACACTTCATTAGTGGGGTCGGGTATGTTGTATTTATAAGGGTCCCGTGGTATGGTCACATGTATTACAGGTTGGTAGTCTCAGCCCCCACGGGCTCACGCTCGAGCAGCCACTCTCTTGGGCTAGCTGAGTGAGTTGGTGAGAGGTTGTTGTCTTCTAGTGGTTTCTCCACAATTATGAAATTTTCAAAATAAATACTCACAACTCACGGCCGAGTCCTGATTCTTTGAAGCCTCCGAACGGTGTTTGCGCAGTAACATGTTCGTAAGTGTTCACCCTAAAAAATAGTAACATATTTATAATTGGTCTTCTCGAATTGTTCCTTGTCACATTAGTTTGAATTTATATCAGTGGTAATTTAACTTTTTTTTAACTTTAACTTTAACACGTTGACGCTTGCGCGTTTGTTTAGTTTATGATAGCAGAAGTTTTAAGAAACATTCGCAATTGTCGGTTATGGGATTTTGGACCAAAAATGTATTACCTCGATTCGAGCTATAGTTCTTCAATGGTGGATACACCCTTCAGGAACTATAAGAAGCTTGTAATGTATTAGTAGTCGTTAGCATCCACCAATTCAAACTCAGTACACTTTGTGAGATGGCATGTTATCGCTATGGGATTATGCCCCAGGAACGGGAACACTATGCTGAAAGATATAAACAGTATCTGATTTCCCTTATATCCCAATGTTTCATTCCTTTTGAGCCGTATAGTAAAATTATTGTATAAAATACTAGGTTCCGTCTCTGAATTCGTCTCCGTTAAGTTTAATTTCGCGCGCAACTTTCTTATTTTTTTTCCGAACTTTTTTTTTTAAGTAGATAACTTTGAAAACAGTTTTTATAACATCGGTTAAATCGTTGTCAAGTTATGGCATAATCAAGGGAAATAGGGATTCATTTTTAACTAATTACAAAATGGAGTAGGTTCTGAAATCGATTGGTATTTTTTTTATTTAAAGAGATTGTCAGTAGCACTCACCACATAGAACCAGCTCGGACGTGTTTGATGAAAGAGAGAGCAGTGGTGATATCGTTGGTGATCACGCCAGCACCGAGGCCGTAGTTGGAGTCATTGGCGCGGTCCACCACTTCTTCAAAGGTTTCAAACTTGAGGATGCTCTGCACTGGCCCAAAGATCTGAACAATAATAGAATCCATGTTTAAGAAAGATAGAAGTTTATCTTTAATACATGGCGTAATATAAGCGCTTGAAATGGAGCGCTGGCACATATTTGTGCCGGACTCCACCACATTTTACATCAGTCAGGTGATTCTGTAGAATATAATTTCACTTACGAAGACAGACAGCGACATTAGCCCTGTAGCCATTACAGGGCAAAATGTCGCTATGTCTGTTGAAGTACCCAGTAATAGATATTTGGCATTTTTCAAAAATACATGCAATGCATATCAAATTAAATGTCCTGTAATGGCTACAGGGCACAATCTCGCTATGTCTGTTGAGACACCCAGTAATAGATATTTGGCGATTTTTCAAAAATCCTAATAAATGACATCTTAAATTTCTTACAGAATATCTACACAGGTGTTATTTGCTGTAAAAATGAATACATAATATGAGGAACCAAAACTGATGATAAAGTTAAGAATTTTATGTTGTCGAGTGAGCTTAATGTTGCTATATGTAGAAGAAGATTGGTGTATTTTATGTTGTAGTATTGAAATAATATTTTGGGTTACTTACACCTAAAAGAAAGGCGATAGTGATATTTTCGTTTCAAGAATTCTTATCAATAGATTATTACCCTTTGCGTGTGTTTTATTGTATGAGTAATATAAAATAACTTAAAACTCACTTCTTCCCTTGCAATCTTCATGTCATCTTTGACATCAGCGAACACCGTGGGTTGGACGAAGTAGCCGACTTTCCCTTGCCTGTCGCCACCAGCCACACACTTGGCGCCCTCTGACTTGCCAGCTTTGATGTAGTTCATCACTTTGGTGAACATATCGAGATCAATCTGTAGAAAAATAGATATTAATAAAGTCATAAAATATATATATATATATATATTGGCTATTATGTTAGTTTTACGACAGTTGTTAGAGCGTTAGCAGTTCACGGTAGCTAAAGATCCATAAGATCTTTAAAATAAAACTAAACTAAAATTTCAACAATATCATATTGGAAATGACAGGTAATTTGACTATTTTTATATCTTTACCATTACATTACTAGCAAGATCAGTACGGCGATTCTGTAAAATAAAATCTCACTTCTAATTTCGGTATCTGCAATTTTAGACATTAGTTTGATATGCATTACGCCATTACACGGCAAAATGATGGTATGTCTGTAGCAGCAGCCAGATTTAAATATTCGTCATTTGTCAGAAATCCAAATAAATAAGATCGTAAGTGAGATTGGATTTTACAGAATACCTATGCTGTATTAAAATATTTCTTGGTGACTTTTCTAGTCTACAGTGGGAGATGAGTTTTCCTTAGGTTTCTTTCTGTCATTTTTGAGTTAGAAGAATTCATGGCATTCATGGTCATTAATTTGTGTATTTTCTTCTCTTACCTGAGGACCTTGTTGCACATCTTCGTAGGAGTTGCCAACAGACCTTTTTTTGGCGATCTCAGCAGCCTTGGCAACAAACTTGTCGTAAATGCCAGATTGCACGTATGTCCTTGTAGCGGCTACGCAGCATTGTCCAGCGTTCGCAAAAGCGGCGCCGTGAGCAATCTGAGCGGCTTTGTCGACTGTATGTGAAATTAAACGTGTTGTTTTGAATGTGGTTCTAGTGATAGCAAGCTAAAAAGACGTTAATTAAAGGAATTAGCCCAATATGATTCACAGTGATGAATACCAATTTGATGAAAGAAAAGAGACAGAAGTCATGGATATTGTTGCACATAAAAACGAACGTTATATAAACGAACGTTAAAGAAGAAGATGAAAAGGTAGGAATAAAAACCATATTAAATTGACTTAAAATAAATTAAGCACGTTCGGAAAAATTAAAAAAATAAAAAAGATAAAACATTTAAAGCTTCTTTTTTATCATTAATTTTTAATAGGTGTAGTAGATTTTTATTCGAATTGCAGCGCCCATCCGAGAAACTCAACCCTATAAAAGACCACTGTGAAATAATTTTTTTTTGGTGTTGTTGTGATTCTGTGGGTGAGTAAGGTTTCAGGGGTCCATGGGATAGGGGTTAGGGTCAAGGCAGTTCACGGCGCAAGTGAAACTTTGGTATCGCAAGCGTCTTATAGGTAGAGTTGCCAGGTCGCCAAACCTAATAGCCGGACAGACCAGCCAGTTTGGCCGGACATTTGGGTAAAAAGGCCGGACACCCATCATTGAGGATTTTGTGGCTCAGTAATGTTAGGAATGACAAAAAAAATTATGTAAAAGCGATCGACAGTCAACTGGCTTGCGCTCGGCTACGCTCGGCACTCGCTCGTTTGCGAAATATAAAAAAGCGTAACAAAAGCCGAACAAGCCGCACACCGTTTATTTTGACTGGACACGCCATCAAAAAGCCTAACTATGTCCAGCTTTATCCGGACGCCTGACAACGCTACTTATAGGCTATGCGTATGGCGTCCGCTTTCCATCAAGAGAGCCATATACTCATACTTGTTAGACACAGTATTTTGTTTGTACGAAATATATCGAGTGTAATAATTATAGTGTGTTTGTTAATTACCATCAGCATCATTGAAGACCACGAGAGCGCTCTTGCCACCGAGCTCCAATGTGACACGTTTCAAGTTGACAGCTGCGGCAGCATTCATGATGATGCGGCCAACCTGACAATTGAATCTCATCTTAACTCAGTTGCTAAAGGAGATAAAAGTATTTAAAATTAACGATAAGATCAATGAGTTAGAAATTATTTTTATTTCATTAGATAAGATAACGAACACCCTTACACGTGTAATTTATTTTAGAATAGAAACTTTCATTAAATTATAAAAATAAAAGCAAAGGTTCAAATGTTGCATAACATTTAAACTCAGTTAATAAAATCATTAAAAATCAGAGTAGGTAAGTAGGGAAGGCCTGTGCCTTAGCAGTAGAGACATAAATAGGCTGGTGATGAAGTTGATGATATCCAGTGCACGAACCTCGCTGGATCCAGTGAAGGGGATCTTATCAACATCTGGGTGATGGATCAGGGTGGCTCCAGACTTTCACAACATCACCTGAGAAACCTGCCTCAGTAGGGCTTCGATGTATAAAGAGCCTCGGAAGGCACGTTGAGCCGTTGATCCCAGCTGAAGTACGCAGTCGTTGGCACCCTTTAATCGGCACTAAGCCCGTGCGATGGGTCCCGGAACAATCTCCCTATTCCATCCATAGGGAAGGCCTGTGCCTTAGCAGTAGAGACATATATAGGCTGGGAGGTGATATTGATGATATTCAGCACACGAATCGCGATGGATCCGGTGAAGGGAATCTTGTTGACATCGGGGTGATGGATCAAGCCAGCTCCAGCTGTGGGCCCTTACCTTGGGACGATATTCATCACATCGTTTGGGAAGCCTGCCTCTTTCAGTAACTCTTCGATGTACACGTTGAGCCGTTTCCCATATGTAGTAAGCAGTCGTTATTAGCCCCTATGGGCTAATGGACACTAGGCTCATGTGGTGGGTCTCGGTCGAATCTCCCTATCCCATCCATAGGAAAGGCATGTGCCCCAGCAGTAGAGACATATATAGGCTGATAATGATGTCTATGATATCCAGTATACCAACCTCGGTGGATCCAGTGAAGCCGATCTTGTCAATATCTGGATGATGTGTCAGGGCAGCTCCAACCGTGGTGGGCCCGTACCCTGGGATGACGTTCACTACCCCAGCTGGGAAGCCTGCCTCTTTCAGTAGGGCTACGATGTACACGTTGAGTCGTTTACCAGTTGTAGTACGCAGTCGTTAGCACCCTCTAATGGGTACTAGGCCCACGTGGTGGGTCCCGGCCGAATCTCCCTATCCACTCCATAGGGAAGGCCTGTGCCCCAGCAGTAGATATATATATATAGGCCGATGATGATGTCTATGATATCCAGTATACCAACCTCGGTGGACCCAGTGAAGGCGATCTTGTCGACATCTGGGTGATGTGTCAGGGCAGCTCCAGCCGTGGGCCCGTACCCTGGGATGATGTTCACTACCCCAGCTGGGAAGCCTGCCTCTTTCAGTAGGGCTCCGATGTAAAGTGCCGTCAGAGGCGTCTGTTCCGCAGGCTTCACCACCAAGGTGCAGCCTGATGAAAAAAAACGTTCTTTTCTAACACACTCCTATTGATTTCATGAATAGAGGTTACTCTATTTAAAAATTTAAACCTACAATTTTTTATTGTTTATTTTATTTAAAAGGACTGCGACTAATTTATAAACTCAGCCAATAATAGAATGCTATTACAATTGCTGTTGATTTAGTATATCGAAAGTACAAACCTTCTATTTAACAATACTTAAATAATAGGGATGATGACTATTTTTTTTCTTCGTTTATCTGGTAGATTATCAAAAAGTATTGGACATGTATTTTTTCTTTTTTCACATAATATAAACATTGCAAAGATATATTGATTTGAAAAGTCCCATGACGTCACGTTTCAGTACACTTATAAGTGAAAATTCACTCAAAAGTGACGTCACGAGCCCCTACTCCCAAACTTTGACGCACTATAAATTTTGTCATTTTTTGGTTGATTGCCCAAAGAAAAAATACATGTCCATTATTTTTTGATCATCTAACTGACGGACTAAATAGAATTTCGTTTACTGTACCCCGTCATCACCCCTATTCTGAAAAACCGTAAGAAAAGTTAGTTAAAGTTAAAGATTAGGGGTGATGACGGGGTACAGTAAACGAAATTTTATTTAGTCCGTCAGTTAGATGATGCGACTTTTCAAATAAATATATCTCTGCAATGTTTTTTTTTATGTTATAGGAGACATACGAGCAGACGGCTCACCTGATGGTAAGTGATCACCGTCGCCCATGGACACTTGCAACACCAGGAGTATCACAAATGCGATGCCGGCCTTTAAGGAAGGAGTACGCTCTTTATATGTTTATATTATGTGAAAAAAGAAAAAATACATATCCAATACTTTTTGATAATCGACCTGATAAACGAAGAAAAAAAAATTAGCCATCATCCATTGTATATTTAAATTCAAAGCTTATAGGTATTTATCTTAAACTATTTTTATGAAAGTATGTTACGAGATATGTAGATTGGTGACACTTATGTGTTTGTGATTCCTTGCTATGTGAACCTCTACCTAATGATAAGACTTTTATCATATTACCCAATAAATTGTAATAACTACTTGAATGCTATAAGATTCGCAACTACTGTTCCTATGTAAATATGATTGATACTTGAAAAAAATTTTTTTTATTCGTGATAATCTTTTTTATCCTGGTTACGGTTTTTAGTGCCGAGATATTGTTTTTATAATAATTTATTGCATAACTATTTTTTTTGTTTATGTCCAATCTCCTTTTTAAGGCACAGTAATATATCTCGATGTTAAGTAATACTTTGTGTTGTTCAGAGTTGTTTATTATTACACAACAAGTTAAAAATATATTGTTCTCGCTATCTTCTGGAAATATAGATAATGGGTATAATATCACATTCACAATAAACAGTTCACGACATATCATGAATACTTAAGTAGGTATAATATAATTTATTCACCAATGTCGATAAAAAAATATAACGTTTAATAGGTACTAATAATTTAAAATAACTGTAAACAACAACTTTTATCACTGGTAATGCTTTATTACTAAGCAATAAGAGCGATATTTGTACTTCAAGTACATAGGTATATTCACTGTGTCTCTGACTTTATATCTCCATAGTAAGTATTTATCAGTATCGACTTCTAGAAAGTGTTTTTTGTGATCAATCACGCCACAGCGACAGGTTTATTTATTATTTTAATGATAGCACAAAACAATAAAACAGTTTTTATGCATTTTTATTACCTGCAGCTAAAGCTGGAGCGATCTTCCACACGATCATGGGAACTGGGTAGTTCCAGGGTAGTATGGAACCGCAAATGCCGACTGGCTCCTTCAAGGTCATTGTAAGGATCTCTCCATCTGTAAATCCCATGATAAGACTTGAATAGTACATTTAATATCACTATCACTTTATGCGTGACTACTCAATTGCTGATAAGAAAATAATGAAATCCTTATTGCTAAAGCCCATTCTGTTTAGTTTAAGCCCTGGGATAATAGGGTCGTGGACAGAAATACATATAATGATACATATATGTTTATAATATTTCCTAATAATATGATATAAATAGCAATGATTTAAGAATAAATTTTGCAATTTTTAGTTTGTATTCATCATCACAAACATTTGCCCCATCGGGATTCCATAAATAAACCATGCCACGAAGTTAGTCTTATATAGAAGATCTTCTTTGGGCAGAACGAGGAAATAACCTGCATGAGGGATATTATATTTTATAGGGATCAGCATAATGTGTTATAGTCACGAAAGCTCAAAAGACGCATTGGTTATTGGTAAGTAGCAACTAATACAGGTGCAACTGTTATCAATCTGATCGTGTGCCTCTGAACCACGGCGGAGTTTGGCATTAGAAATACTTGGACATTTTCCTATAAATGTTTTTTTTTTTCACTACAAAAAGTTTGCTTTTCTTTAAAAAAAAACAAATTACGACAATGTTGTCTAAATCAGAGATTTACACTATTATGGAAATGTTGATGATAATTATAGTCATTCTATCCACAGTTTTAAATAGCTATTCATGTGCAGACAATTCTTTCTCACTCACCGGCAGGAATAGTGCTGCCTAAGATCTTGTCAGCTTTCCCTGCGTAGTATCTGATGATGCCTGCTGACCACTGCACCTCGCCTTCAGCTTGTTTCACTGGCTTGCCATTGTCCAAAGTCTCCAAATCGGCCAAGTACTTGTAGTCCCTTTCTATGAGGTCAGCGAGCTTCAGCAGCAGACGACCTCTTTGGGACGCGTCCATAGTGCGCCATTCGGAGTAGCGATGGAAAGCCTTCTTTGCTGCGGCTACCGCGATGTCGATGTCAGCCTTTAACGTATTCGGAGTTAGAATTTAATGTCAAGATTATCTATTTATGGTCATAATACTAGCAAAACAAATTTCTGTGAGAGATAGGGGGAATCTTAGATGTTTCTAATAAATTACTTAAATAAGTTTCATCACTTTCTCCCATCGTCATTCACACCGTCGACTACATCTACATCCTCTATTTCACTATATTCAAGTTAAATTTCTCGCAGCAAAAATAATTCTATGTTATTCTCTGAGATTTCCTTCAAAATTTACATCAAATTTCATTAATACGGATCAGGAGTTTAAGTTTTTTAGTTGTTTTTTAATAAATTTCCATAAATGAATAGGGAGATAAACAATCTTGTATTAAGTAAAAACATTTGATAAGACTTAAGTTAGCTAAAGTTTTATTCAAAATTCTGTGAATACTAGATTTGTTTACCTTGTCTCCTTCAGCGACTTGAGTAATGACGGTCTCATCTTGAGGATTGATAGTCGGGAAGGTCTTTTTGCTGACGGCGTCGACCCATTCGTTGTTGATGAACAGCTAAGAAGTGACAACATAATATTTAAATTTTTTATCATTCAGCCCTACGACGCCCACCGCTGGGCAAAGCATAGGACTTTAAACTGATGTGTGCCCACTATTCGTAAATTGATGATAAAGGTATCGGATGATAATCACAATCTTACATTATATTTTCAATACCAAAGTAATGAATTCATAAAATAAATTCTAAAACCGTTGATACGTAAAAGGACACGGAATAGTATATAAAAACGATCTAAAAACTGTGTGCTATCTCTCATAGGTATCTACTTACTTACAAAAAATACTGAAATAAATTCACTTTTAAAAATGTTTAGTTTCTTTTTGCTCTCATTATAATATATAAATTGCTTAGGTACTTTAAACGCACACACATGAGTTTTGCTGATATAAAAGACGCAAGAACAATGTCACAAATGGTTGGAATTCATTCCAAAGATTCGATTTAACTTGAACATTCGCTTTGTTGACCAATTGTTGTTCATCTATACTGTGATTGAGTGCGTGTGGTTGCCGAGAATGCAAGGAAGTTTGAAATTACAGCAGACGACAAATGAACAATACTATAGTTACTACAGAACACAGAAAGAGGTATAGTTACTTACATGAAACCGAAGACTCATGAAATGCAATCTTTTGGTATCAGAGATTTATTTATGATATTTTCATTTGGTGGTTTTTAATTTTACAATATTTGACTTTAAAGGTGAAAAGAGTTAAAAAAAAACGTCTTACTAAGCTATAATTGTGTTAGTCTTATTAAATACTTATTAATTAATCGAAAACAATGATCCTCAAAAATATAGTCTATCTGTCCCAGCGAACTACGTACCGCCATAAAAAAATAGGGATTGGTGGTAGAAGGGTGAAAATTATGGGATGTATGTATTTTTAATGCCACATTTTAAAAAAAACTCCAAAAAATAAAAAAAATATGTTTGGGGTGGACAACCCTTATCGCATACGGGTATGAAAAATAGATAGTAGCCGATTCTCAGACCTACTGAATATGCATATAAATTTCATAAAAATCGGTCAAGCCCTTTCGGAGGAGTATGATAATTACTTAACATTGTGACACGAGAATTTAATATATAAGACTAGCGGACCCGACAGACGTTGTCCTGTCTACACGTCTTTGTGAATCTAAACCATTCTCAGATCCCCTTGACAACACACAAAAAATTTCATCAAAATCGGTCCAGTCGTTTAAGAGAAGTTCAGTGACATACACACTCACAGAAGAATTATATATATATATAAAGATTATCACCAAAAATACAATTGGTAATGTCAAGGTTAGGTTAGGTTGAATATCATTGAAATTTGTGCCTTAATTAATGTATAACTATTAGTAACTATTTACGAATTATGTAGAAAATCGATTAACTTTAATATTATATAGTGAGTAATGAAAATTATGATGTTTATGTATGCTTCAATGTTCGTTTTAATGAATATTCATCTAAATTTGTCTCATTGTATTAACATCAGAACCGTTTCAGTAATTTCAGAATTTGTGCTTACAAACAAGGCACTATTTACATAATTATTTACATATCTTATTTATATCATTTAAGTAAATATTGCCAGTTTACTGTAATACTGTTTATGTACGCTAGTCTCTCATTACCACATAATAGTTTATCAAAATATATATCTTTAAAAAATCTTTTACGATAAGCAGATAGACATTTTTTGTGATATTGATAGCATGTCTACCTACTATCTACATACAAATAGAAATACTTACCTACAAATATCGTCATTATAAACGCTTTCTTGTCTTATACTGAACCTGATACGATCAGAATAATCTTTATGCAGAACGATATAAAAAAAAGAGTGTCTTTATGCTTTTTATTACTGATATCTTCTGTAATATATAAAATTCTCGTGTCACGGTGTGCGTAACTGAACTACTCCGAAACGGCTCCACCGATTTTCGTGACATTTTTTGGGTTTAATTTTTTTATGATACATCATACAAAAATACATACAACCCTAAATTTTCACCCTTCTACCAACCCCTATATTTTATGACGGTACGAAGTTTTCTGGGACAGCTAGTTTGTTTATAATTACTATTGTTAAGAGTAGAAATCAATAAGCTGTAATAAAGTCAAGCTATTTTTAAAGAACTTGCTGTAATTACTGACCATGTTAATTTAACATGTTAGTTTTTAGCACTTCGAGATTAAACCAACCGAAAAAAGTAAGAATTAGTACTTATTTGTTACAATTAATTTCTGGATGACTTACAACAATAGATGTTTAAAACATATACTTTTAATTAAAAATTATATGCTTAAAATATATATATACATATATATAAAATATATATACACTTGGACACAAGTATTTTGAATTAAAAGGAATCTTACGAGTACAAATCTGTTGTCAAATAAGAATTTACGGGGCAGAGGGTTTGTTTACCTTAGCCATCACAAAATCCATGTTACCATGGTACGTTTTGCTTTGAAAATAGTATTTATATTTAAGAGTTCTTCGTGGGTGATTTATTACGATATAAAAATAGATTTCACCTACAGTGTTATTATTAAAATTTGTCTCAAGTACATACTTATGTTTTTATGAAAAGTTTAAACATCACTTATAGTTAGTAAATTATTACATATATTTAGTTTTACTATGTATGTTTAATGTGTATTTCTAATAAACAAGAATAATTTCATTATTTTGTTCTTAAATTAAATTCACTTATTTTTTAAAAGTCTATTCAATTAAATTTAGAAATACAATGTAATTTAAAACAAAATTGTTTTTTTCCTTTAGGTACTTTTTTATGCAACACGCACTGCCTTCAATATTACTTTCTATAAATAATAAAGTTATATTTATTGTTTGTCATTCATTTAAGTATTACTTTACACAACAAATGAAAAATATTTTGTGTCTACATAGTAAAGTTTTCGGAAAACAACAAATAAACTTTTTCAAGAATCCAATATATACTAACTCTCTAAATTATTTTCTCTTTATTAAACCAAAGGATACGAAGACATACCTTAGTGTATTTGATGTCAACTTTAACCATTTTGATGTAGTAGGTCTGTACTGTTTTGGATCGCCCGACACGCGTCTATCCACCGGGTGTTACCGGCTAAATGTAAACCAAACGGGTGTTACAACATTTATATTGTTAGATTAAGTAACTACTGTTATCGTTCGACATGCCGGCCGGCGCGGCGTATCACCATGTGCCGAGAGTTGAACTTATCGATGAATATGGTGAAACCCATAAAATAGGAATTTCAGTAACATATTACGTGTTTTTTTTAAATGGCTTGTAATACTTAGTTTTTGTCTCTGCTACTCTTCCACGACCCTTCAGATATGAACAAAACAGGCAAATTATACAATTCAATTAAGAGTTGTAGGGCACAGTGGATTAACCGCTCGAATTAGAGCAAAATGACACTACCTTCGGGTGGTGCTGTGTTTCTGCTGGTGAGTAGGGTTCCAGGCCTTCGCGGGGTAGGGGACTGGGTTCAGGCCGGCATGGCAAGGTTAAGATGGCTGGAGCAGCACACCTTCTGCCGTATCATATATTTTCGTGACTGGACTCCACTTATATTTAACATCAGGTGGGGTGGGGTAATTTTCTGCGCCTCGTATAAAAAAAACCAAAGTTTTAGGAAAAGAAGATTTATAAATGTTTTATCAAAATCAATCGTCGCCTGCTCTTCTAGATAGCTTTTTAAAAACATTATACATAGATACGAACATTGATATCCTATAACATGAATGAATTAGTAGGTCCGTCCGACAAATGACTCCACCCCACCTGAATTTAAGTGACGGTGTTGTCCAGACACAAAGATAGCAGGTACAGCAGTTTCTTGTCGTGTGGCAGGGCCATACCAGCCCCCTGCCAGACTGCCTGTTGCTTCTTCACGCCTCTTTTAAAGTATCCCAGGTTGTAGGAGGGAGGGAACACGTAAGCGCGTAGAGCATTAAATTTGCGGATAGTGCGCCAAATAATGAGTCACCAAATGTCTTTGTTCTTATTGGAATAGTGGCTACAGTTAGTCGGTGACAACGTAGGCTATAGGCGTGTGGCCTTCTGAAGGAAAAGGGGAAGGTGGAATAAAGAAGAATGAATAGCCGTGGCACCGACGCTTAATGACGCGTCGTCACGGCGTAATTGAAAAGGCTCGAGGTGTTTTGTCACCTGCGCATCGCCTATGATGCTGATCGCGCGCCGCTGTAACCTATCCAAAGCATCGAACAAGTCCACAAGTCCAATGAGTAATATTCCACACAAGACCGCACCTGCGTCTTGTACAACAAGCACAGTTGATCAGGCGTGAAAAAACGCCGCCGCACCTTGTTCGGGACTCCGAGTTTGCGTAAGGCCGTTTTTATCACGCTTTCGATGTAATTCTTTGGATTTAAGGCACAGCGAATTTCCATACCGAGTATGGAGATATTGTTATTTAGCTCAAGTGTTGTGCCCTAAAGAGAAGGAAAGGACAGGAATGGCGACATTTTTGTCGTGAAAGCGCAGACCTGGGTTTTCTTAGCATTGAACTCAACCAAGTTTTTGGTACTTCATTCGGAAATGTGGTCTGAAGCCTGATTGAGAGTCCGGTAGATCCCGCATGCACTGTACTATCGTCTGCATAGTAATGAATATTTATATAATTTGATATGTCATTTACACATAATATGTATTTATCGTTTATGTTAGTATAGTATAGTAAAGTTAAGTAGGTTTTTTTTTCTTACTTTAGTAGCTCGCACTCTGTCACCATAACATTCGTCTCCCACACCCTTATTGGTTGACTGGTAGAGAATGCCTATGGCATTAAGTCCGCCATTTACTGTATTTTGGTAAAAAAGAATAAAATAAATAAATAATATTCTCTAAAGGAATTAATATGCAGCAGAAAGTGTGTGGCATAAGACGGAGCCCTGAGAAACACCGGCATTCACAAACATGAACCTCGATATGCAGGAAGTTGACTACTAAGGAACAGAACCGAACCGGCAGACCATATGCCAGAAGCTTGGAGAGTAGGCTTTTGTGCCAGACCCTGGTGAACGCCTTGGTGATATCGCCGTGCATCGATTTGCATAAAAACTTGGAATTATCTTAGCTTCTACTTCAAATCAAATCATGCCGTTGGGCGCTGTTTGATTTTAAGGGTGAAAACTAGGCCTAGTTGTTAAAACTTATAAAATAATATTTTAAACCTTAAGGTGGGTAAAATTTGGTTTGAATTATTTGAATAATGATCGTTTTATGCTTTGGAACACAATTTCAGAATATCGTCTATCAGAGACAGTACCGGAACATCTACGAATATTGAGGTTTTGAGTAAATTCAATAATTCAAAGAAATCAAAAACTTTGAAGTTGAATTCTTTAACTAACTCAAAACCTCAAATTTCGGAGATGTTCCGGTACTGTCTCCTATAGACGATATTTCAACACAAACAAAATAAATATCTTGACAGAGTTATTAATAAAAAATGTTACTACCTGATTTATTACCAATTACATTATTTTGCAAATTTTCTACCCTTACAAACTACCCCTTACAACATTCCAATTCTTATAAACTTATTTAATAGATATAACTAGGAAAAATACGAGAATTACATACAAAAATTTGTTTACACATAAATACACTACATATTACATACAAGTGGTGTTAACTCAAGTTTTCACTGTTTGTCTTAGGTAATAATTGGTCAGTATTCCAATAATACAAACATTTTATCAATTTAAAGTAGTACCAGATTCCGATCCATCTGAAAATTTGTAATGTTGAACAAGATTTTCTAGGTAAACTAAGTTTTGCTCTATGGGCTTTGACCAAAGCTATCGAAGTATACTTATGCTCCAGCGATACCAGATTATTATTAACAACAATCGTAATCATTAAAAATCCGATAACGAGTGCATAGATAGCTAATCTGTAAATTGCATTGTTAAGTTCAAATCCAAGTACAATGTAAATGTTATTTTAATAATTAAAAGTATATCGTGTCTCTACAAAATACACAGCACGATTAAATTTATCTGAAATAAACAAATTCACTATCGTATTGTCGTTAGTCAATGGGTTAAAATTTCAATTATAAAAGCTGTAATAATTGATATAAGACTGGTGGGTGTCTGCAATTTCGTCTGCGTGGAAATATTAGTTTCCCATACAAACTTTGATTCGCCGTTTTACCCCTTTAGGAGGAAAGTTTTAGATTATCCTTTCCAAGTCCTGCCTACATCATAATAGCTATATGTGTGCCAAGTTTCAGCACAACCCGTTCAGTGGTTTGACCTTTGCGTTGTTAGATCAGTCAGTCAGTAACGGTTGCCTTTATACAGATAATAAATAGTAAATTCTTGTCGTTTAAATTCCTATACGAAAGCTTTCTAATTGATAAAATCTGAAAAGAAACAGTTTGTTTAAATCTTGACCAAATAATAAGTTAAGAGAAATGGGAGTCCCGCTTAACCGAGGAGTCTATAGAATAGAGGAGAAATTAAATAAAATGAAAAAAATCTTTATTCAAATTAACTTATTGAAAACTCTTTTGAATCGAAGCAAGTTTTCAACAGCCTTCAAAAAGGAGAAGGTTCTCAATTCGACTGTATGTTGTTTTTTTTCTTATGTTTATTACGCGATTTTTCCGTCAAATAATGGGCCGATTTTCAAAATAATTTTGCAATCGCAAGAGTATTAGTATTCCCATAGAAAAATTGACATGATCTGAACGTGGACTTCGGAGATATGGAATAGAACTCTTCGTAGGATCATGGTCGATGGTTAATCCTAAAGAGGGGGGGGGGGGGGGGGGGTTGGGGGTATGTTTAGTCGTCATGCCCGTCAATATTAAATATATCGTGTGAGGTATCATTCAAACAAGGTTTTTATGAGTATTTAGTTGATGTTGCCCAGGCTCATTAAAAAAAAACTTTTTTAATATAATAGATATTAAGAAAATATAACTAGAAAAATTCCACGCGGACCAGGCAGCAGACAGGACTCGAACCCGCACCCTTTGCTATCCGGGCGAATGCACTGACAAATTATGCTGCCGCGGCCCTGATGGCCACGTTGAAATTCTTCTAGCCATTCTTAAGCTGCAAGGCAGCGGCATTTCTTCGCATTATAGGTAACCCACAATGTCAGATTTAAACATCAAGCAGTTACATGCTTAAAAATTATAACTATAATAAATATTATTTTCTTATATCTAAAGTACAAAGTCTAATTAATATTTGTAGTCTGTGCCATGAATGTTGACTTGGACATTTACTGCTTAAGTTATTATGGCGCCTACATCAAATGGTAATTTAAATTTAACAAGCGATGATGTTTTTTGGGGGAAAACGAAAACGGGGAGAACCTCTTGCAAGCCCTGGAAACTGTATATCCTCAAAAAAAAAACTAAATTCAACCTGCTACTCTACGTATTTTTTTGTTTTTCAGTTTTGTAGTACCAACGATGCATCTTTACCATTGTGAATCTTCCTACTCCATCCTTAGAACATAAAAAATAGTCTTTCCTAAAGTGAAATCTAAGCAACATCTTTTTATCAAGTCATTCAAATTTTTAATGAAAGGCACTTCTCGTTCATTTTAGGACTAGATCCAGCTCGTCCCTTGGTGAACGCGTACGGCTCGAAGCTGTTCCGGCTGAGCAGAGATGACGCACACGTGGTTCAAGTTATTCATTCCAACGCTGGGTTCCTGGGGGAGTCCGGCTTGGTGGGCCATGCCGACTTTTGCGTCAACGGGGGGAAACTGCAGCCGGGCTGCAAGGGACATTTCATGCGTAAGTTTCTTCATTGTATCTCATTATTATCATCATCAACCTTTTTAATTTCGCCACTGCTGAGACGCAGGACTTCCCTTTCGCTGGCTCAATGCGTATTGGTGGAAGCTAACGACTGCAGATACAGCTAGGACCAACGGCTTAACGTGCTTTCCGATGCACGGAGAACCTCGATATATTACTTAATATTATTTTCTCTTCTTCTTTATATAACTATCATAGTTAATCATCCTGAAAAGGATGTGAAACGTCAAGTTATGTAACTAAGTATAAAAAACGCATTTTAAACCCGTTATTTTTTTATTATTATTTGATGAGTGGTGTGTGTGAAAACTTAAGAAA